GTGTTACAAAAATTATAGACAATAAAAAAGGTTTATAAAACAGTTTCCAACAATATATGTTTTATATTACGGGGGTAATACGTTCAAATACGGCGGGCCTTAACCAAGCGTGGATGAGTTTAAAAGTTTTTAAAGATTATTGTTATCACCTGAAGGTTGTCGGTAAGAAATTGTTTAGCGATAAGGCCGTCTTTTCGTACTTATGATTGTATATATATTTATTAATTATTTTTCTGTATATGGGGCAATATCATTATTATACTAATTGTATATATATTTATTAATTATTCCGGGGCGGTTCACTCTGCAGAAAGCGGTATTGTACGCCGGTTTCTGTCCCTGGGGCAACCCCGGCCGACTATCATTATTATAATAATAAAAAATAATAATAATAATAATCTCAGGACAATTCACACAGCGCCATCTAGACCCAAGTTAAACTAGCTAGAGCTTGTGTTATGGGTACTAGATAACTGATACATATACATAGATATTTTTTTTTTGTAAATACATACATATTATACATAGAAAACACCCAGACCGATACAAACAATCATACTCATGAATACAAATGTTTGTGCCGTGCGAGGAATCGAACCCGCGACCATCGGTCGTAAAGCGGTGTGCTTGACCGCTAGACCACCGAGGTCGTCATAGATATACATAGTATAAACCAAAGTCGCTGTCGCTGTCGCTGTCTGTTCGCTCTCATATATCCTTAAATCTTTAAAACTACGGATTGTGAAGCGGTTTTTTTTAATAGATAGAGTGATTCAAGAGGAAGGTTTATATATATAATACATGTACATCCGTGCGAAGCCGGGGCGAGTAGTTAGTAGTGTATTAATAAAAATAGAATAGTGCTCTTTGTGTTGAGCTAGACTAGCTAGACACCCGACGCAGTCCCTCGGCGTGATTAAGCATACCACTTTCTAAGACACTCTGTATAAATTACAGGTACATTCACACAGGAAATTGTTTAAAAGGGATTATTTTTATGGAACACAATGACAAACAAACTGATGAACCACCTGGTATTTACAATATACATATATGAAAAGCGCCATGACGATTACGTCATCATGGAATTATAGAAATAACTAGCTTTTATCCCCGGCTTCGCTCGCATAACTTCATTACTAGTAGTACATAAGTAACAAAATGTTGATATTTTATTGTTATGTTTTTTTTAAATCAAAAGTATCCTAAGTTCAATCTAATACCTCCAAGAACATGTGTACAAAATTTCATGTTGATCGGTTCAGTAGTTTTTGCGTGAAAGCGTAACAAACATTCGTACTTTACACTTTTATAATATTAGTAAGGATAACATTGCAGGTTTTTATTATGGTATTCACACAGCGCCATCTAGTCCCAAGCTAAACAGAGCTTGTGTTATAGTTACTAGACAACTTATATACATATCATACTCACGAATACATCTGTTTGTACCGTGCGAGGAATCGAACCCGCGACCATCGGACATAAAGCGGTGTACTAAAGTAGACCACCGAGGTTGTCGAATTATAATGAATTTTCAGAATAACGAAATAAATACCTTTATCTTTATTATTTGAGCTTGCGTGTAACAGCTTAGACCACATCATCACTTAACATCAGGTGAGATTGCGGTCAAACGCGCTCAAATTATGATATAAAAAAAAAAATTATAGTAATAGAGTAAGGGAAGTAAAGCGGAAATATTTACGGTTAAATATCAATTGATAATATTGCTATCGCGTTTGAGTAAGGGCAGATGTTACGTCTCTGAATAGAGATCGAATCCTCAAGAATACCTACATTGTAATTTTATAGAGGAGTATCCTTTTAAAATCTGCAGATTCTGCCAGACTGAAGAGGAAACGCTACTACACATCCTATGTGGCTGTAGCCCTCTCATGCATAAACCAAATATCTCATTTGGAAAGTTAAGAAGGAAAGTAACCATCGCTCCTAAGAATATCTTTCTATTCTTGTCCCTGACGGGTCTAGGTAGCGAACTTTGAAAAAGGGCGAGCACATGTATGCAGGTCGCAGTGCTACAGGTCCAAGCACCTGACAATAGCCCAAAATCTCCAATAAAAACAACTGAAAAGAAAACTAGTTCATATACAATCTAAGTTAGAGCGAGAGGTATACCAGCGACCTGTCTGGAACTGCAGTAAGTTCTATACTAGAACGTGTATCTAAATCTGCACTAACAGGCTTCTACCAGATTTGTGTGGGCAGGGAGAGAAACACGTAGGTCGCATTGCTACAGGTCCAAGCACCTGACAATAGCTCAAACAACTCTTTATTCTTTTTTCAACTTCTTTTTTATTATGTTTTGCGGACATGGCAACGCACATATTTGTAGGCTGCCAGTTACATTTACTTTTTATATAGAAATTATACATCCTTTTAAACACTTTTATACGTCATTGTAGAAACTAGTTATAGAAATGCCTTGTATACATACATTTTAATATTATTAACCTCTTATCTTGCTAAAGATACTCATTTTCTGCTTATAAATAATATTACCATACTACAGTTTGTGTTCTACACTAGATATATACGGAGTTGCTTGTGTGAAATTACCTATTTCTTTATAACCAACTCTAACTTTATATGTTCTGCCTTATACAACGGACTGTGTTCTGAAGATTTGTTCGACATGATGCCCACGGCTACTTTTTGCCATCGCACCGCTCGCCATCGACAGGGAGTTCATCCACTCACGCACAGAGGATCTTCCTTGCTATACGGAAGGAAGATGACTTACTTTGATTCTAGAATGAAATACCTGTTGAGGTTGTCTTAAGATACAGATTGAAAGAGAAACAATTGGAAAGATGTGAATTTTTATATCTTATTGATAAATTAAAAAGATAACAGGCATTTTTTATTAAATTAGTAACCTTATGTGACTGTCAGTTTTACTTTTACGATTAAACGCCTGAACGAATTGTAATAAAATTTGGTATGTCGCATATAGGCTATCTTTTATGTCATAAAATAATTTGTAAATGGTTGAAATAGGGGATGAAGTTTGTGTAGACGAAGTCACTGAGTAAAAAAATACATTTAACATATTTATTTACAAACTCTTTAATGCACATGCAAATTACAAAGAACACAAAGTAATAAGGTACAAATGGCGGTCTTATCGAATAAGCAATATAATAAACGCAGAATACACTCGACTAATATTTAATTTCATTCGAGAACCGAAGCCACGACCCTCAGAGGTAAAGCGATTCTGATAGCAAACTGTTAGAGCATCGGCGCCGTCCTGCAACATTCCTGCAAGGGTTTTTCTAGGTTATACATACAGTGATAAACAATACTAGTTTCATTGTATGCTTTCCATATATAGAAATTTCAATACATTATCTAATATTCCAACACCATTGCACAATAAGGTAGGACGTACATATGAGTCATATAGTAAAAAATGGTCAAGTTCACATGATAGGTGATGGTAAAGATTCCGTAGCTTTATTTTATTCAGCAGTATCAGAGGTTTCCTCATGCTCCTAAAATATCCTTCTTGTGCTCGATTACTCTAGATGGCGAATTTTGAAAAAGGGCGCACACAATGTCAAGTATAGGTCACAGTACGAGTCTTAGCATGATAGCCCAAAACCCTCAATAAGTAAGTGGTGTAGCGGTTTGGCAGATCATCTTATATAGAAAATGTTGCAGGTTCGATTATTGAGGAAAAATTGGTTAAAATTATGATGTGCGTGGAATATGATTGTTTATATTGATAGTCTAGTGTTTTCTACATTTATATTGTGCATCTACGAATTAAGTATTTCTGTTAGTTTGTTAATACTCTTGTTAGGGTTCTAACCTTGGGATACTACAAGCTATATTTGGGTTCGGACTAGATCACACTGTATGAATTCTCCTGGGTTACCTATACGACTGACCTGTCACCAGTCATCAGTCACTACGTAAAGCAGTTTAATCCTTTCCACCACAAACTCTTAACTATACCCTTGCATTCAAACATTTGCATTCTCATTGCTTAAAAATGATTCTAGTATTTTCTATGAATTTTTCATATACGTCGAAAATACTAGACAAGTTACTATAACATTAGAAAAATCATTACTTCTATCAGTAGTATATGTATATTCCAATAGTAGTATAAACTGTTTATTTGGAATTAGCACTGTGTAATTAACTTATCCTTGTCTTTACTGATCTTCATGACTTACCTTGTGTATAAGTATAGATAACTTTGTATAGATTCCGTTCTACCCTTTCGTCCACGATACCCTAAGTCCTATCATTACTAACCACACCTTCCCCAAAGTACTGTTATCATTTCCTTAAAAGAACTGTGTCATTTGTATTAACAATAAAGACACACCAACATAAACTTTGTCGAATGCTTTGTTATGGATGATTAACTGGTGCTTAGTTGTCGCAACATGTAGAATTACAGATATATTCTTCCAATTATTTATTCGTAAAGGCTAAGATATCATTAACGTGGTTTCATTGACCTAACTTTTACCTATCATCGGCTACTGATAACCCGTCAGCGGTTTAAAAAACAGATTACAATAATACACCCTTTTTATTGAAACATTTGGTTAACTAAACTGGTGAAAATATAGTGATAAAATAATAAGATTCGAAAAATATATTACATGAAAAAATCCTTTTGAAATTTACATTTCTAATATACAGTTATGAACTAAATAAACTTCTTTCTAGTTATAATATTAGTTTAAATATCTGTGTGATAGATTAGGTCTGTATACGAAACTTGCCATCAGATTTTCGGAAAAAATAACTTGGTATTTAAGTATTTAAAAAAATAACCTTTTATGCATATGGACATATGCAACTAATTAAAACATGTTACGAATAACAATTAAAGGAAATGTTCTTATTGTTACAGATCAACAGACCGGGCCCCAAGTTCGTACCCTGGCGCACACCGAACCTGGCATCACAAATTTTCCGTCTGGAGATGCAAACTCTAACATCACAATATCAAATTTGCCCCCTAATATTACTCCAAATCCATTTACCAGCAAGCAAAATGAAAAGCATAAAGGCACAGACACAGCGATGTCGAGTTTGTCGAAAGCTTCGCATAAATCCGAAGATGATTTTGACGTAAACGAATATTTTGCAAGGTTACAAGGAACTAGATATGTGAGCGCTCCACTGAATAGTCTTCGTAAAGAAGATAAAAATGCGAACTTAGAAGCTACTGAAGAGAATTTAGAAGAGATTAATTTGAATGAACCAGAGAAGCTTCAGAATTCAGAAATTCAGCAAAGCTTGACTGCTGATATAGCGCAGAATTTTTCTCAACTACCAACAGTTTTGCCCCAAGTTGCCAGCGCTGTATTTAGTTCCTTTTCCAATATGTTGAGCATGAAAAGTAGGGAACAGACTCCTGATGAAGTGAAAGTAAATTCAGGGTACCAAGAGGTACAATTCCAGAGGCCTGAAGATATTGGAGTCCCTTTAATGGGTGTGGAGCAGCAAGTGAAAGAAGTAGCACCGCCTCCCAAGGAGCCCCCTCTTACTGGTGAGTATCATATACTTCCAAAATACGTACATTTTATAGCAGTACATCAGTATTCTCTCGTATATACAATTGTATGTCTTGTATATATTTTTGGACAAGAGATCAGAAAAGTAACTGCACTTAAATTACTGCACTTGAATTAGACGATTCTTAGGTTTCACCTATTTCGGCCGCCAAGCAGTTCACTTATAACTATATAATAGTTTTAGGGTGAGATGATATAGTAGTTAAATTAAAGGGTACATAGGCATGCCATCTTATTCCTCTAGAATGACAACGCATCAGTAGATACCACTGATGTTCGTAGTGTTGTTTATATATATATCTATACGGTGCGATTAGCCAATGAAATTACACCATAAAAGGCATGACAACTTAGACGTCTAGAATGGGATTTCATGAGTGATATCACGGGAGTCACATGATAACATGATGTCCATAGTGCTGTTCCGCTAAATAGATGACCGTTACCATAAACTGGGCTTATTGGCCATTCTAAATTAATCACGCGGTCTTCTATACATGTAAAAAGGTCATGTTATATATATACCTATGTAGCGAAACGATGACAGCACAGCCCTATTGGACGTAAGTTTCTCACGGCTCCACTATGACCTCTATGCCCTTAACATAAGGTCACAAGTAATTACTGACCTAACACCTCGATGCAAATTGAGCGAACTTCCGCCTTTTTTCCGTTTCAATTCCACTACGCATGCGCGTTGATTTAATTGTCCAAATGCGAGTTTATTCCACATAAATAAAACATACCATCTCGACTATTATCACTGATGGGGTAATCAGAGGCATTGTCAGTTACTACTTAAGGGATTTATTAACTGCGACTTTTTTAACAGTTATATCTTCATTTTCAAATGCATTGAACACGAACAATTTACTTAACGTCAGTATGTCAGTTGTCAAAGAACCTTCTTTTCCATTTTAAGTTCCAATTTACATCAGGTAAATTGCCACCTGATTTAGTTAGCAAATTGACCACCTAGATCCGGGGCTGGCTAATCATCTTCAAATTCAAAAATGTTTTTGTAAAATTATCGAATCCCAGGTGTGTTAATATTAATAATATTATAAATGCGAAAGTTTGTGAGTATGATAATTTTATAGGTATGGTAAGTTAATAAAAGGGTATGTTTGTTATTCTTTCACCCAATAATACTGAACGGATTTTTATAAAAGTTGACAGTAATATAGCTTATACACTAGAATAATAAATAGGCTATATATTTTATTGAAATTTAACGCGTGTGAATCCACGGGCACAAGAATAAAACCTAGCAGAAATTGCAATTTGAGCATACAATTTTTGAAGTCTGTTGACTTGACAATCTCCAAAGCAAACATTATTGACCTCTCGCGAGTGTAATGACCAATGTGGTAACAAACATAATTCTACGCAAATTACAATCATTACACGCAGTTACGGCCCGTCCGTCTGCTTTGATGGTGTGCAAACACGCATCTGATAAGTATAATGCAGGGATGCCAAATGTATGAGATTATCCATACAGGTTCGAGATTTTTGATTTTCTGTACGAGGTCGTTTTCATCCTCGTACGGTTTGTACCAGATTTTAATGGTTAAAATGCATTGATGCTTTCATATGTATAGACCAATAATACAAATCATACTCATGAATACAAATATTTGCACCGTGCGAGGAATTTAACCTGCGGTTATCGGAATGCAATACGATAGAAAGAAAGAAAGAAAAGAAACAAAAATATTTTATTCAGTGCAATGTAAAAAATACAATATAAACAACAAACGAAAAAAAAAGAACATGCCGTTAAACCACTGAGGCGGTCTAATGATTTCAATTTGGCAATCCATTTTTTTTTTACGTAGGGAAAATCCTTCATGTAGGCCCGTCTTTCTCAGGGGTTGGACGGACAGGTACTGTGAGACTCATAAAAAACCTCACGGCATTCCGACCAGACCGATCCAGACCGCGACTCCAGCGGCGGTCATGCGCAAGGGGGGCCTCCTTAATGCATGGTGGGAACTACTACTATTTCCAGTTCCCCCGGCTCCGCCCACCGTGGGGGTTTCGCTCCGGAATACGGGATAAACCTCTCCCCATCTCGGTTCCTGTTGTGTGGAGACTTGAACAAGTTTGGCAACCCTGGTACAACGACATGACATGCTCGCGCGCGTTATTCAGTACCTACCTGCAGATTTGAAAATCATTTGCACGTATAATTTAGTTACAGTTTAGACTAACAAGTTTCTCCTCGAAACTTGGTAAACTGAATTTAATAAAGTTTGACATACTTACTCTATCTTTTATATAAAAAGAAACCAAATGGAATCGCGGAAACCAATTAGTCAATCTTAATATACGTGCTGTAATATATTAGTAGCAGATACATGAATGGTTGCATCGTATATTTTCAATCGCTAGAAATCTAGATGCACTGTCATCTAGAGAGACACGTTTATTAATAGTGTAAAGCAAATCGAGGTTTTTGTTTGTTTGTAATTCTTTAATATACGAAAATTTTGTAGAAAAGTATAAATTAAAATATAGGGGTTAATGATAGAAGGTTGAAAATTTAGATTCGTATGTATTTTTAAATGCTAAATCATAACATTATATCAAAAAATAAAAAAAATATTTAGGGGTAGACAACCTTTATCACTTAGGGGTATGAAAAATAGATATTAGCCGATTCTCAGACCTACTGAATATGCATTTAAAATTTCATAAAAATCGGTCAAGCCGTTTCAGAGGAGTATGGTAACTAACATTGTGACACGAGAATTTTATATATAACATATATAATAACAATTCATTTACAATTTTGTGTTTTATAATCGTTTTCATCTAGTACATATCCTATATATGATACCTCGTTGATTCCCACATATTCCACCCCGGCTCTAATGTACCCAAGGCCAGCTTTGTCAGTCCAGCTAAGTGAAAAAAAAAGTTGCCACATAAGATTGACAGATCCCCCCCTATCAATCAAGTTTTTGCTGCGACAAATACTCTACTAATTGCAACACAAGATCGCGAAAGTTGTCTGGAACGAGTACTGGAGCAACTTAGTAGAAAATTATGAACTAGAGTAATTGATTTAAGAGGGCCTCGGTGGCCTGGCGGTATAGCACGTCGCGGGTTCTATTCCTCGCACAGCACAAACAATTGTATTTATGAGTATGATTGTTTGTACCGGTCTGGATGTTTTCTCTATATAATATATATTGTAATATGAATTTACGAAAAAAAAAATTATGTATTCGTAAAAAAAACAAGCTTTAGCTAGCTTAACTTTAATGTGTGTTGTGAGTGGTCCTGAGATTATTATTATTGTCTCTCTTTTTCACAGCGAGACTGGTGATTAGTACCGAGGACGGGACATGCAAAAGATTGTTATTGTTATTCTGTAGCAGTTAGGAATCGACGGACTATTGCACATGTATCTAAGATACATGTCCAATAGTCATAGTATAGTAATAGTAGACAGCCTTGTATAGTGGAATGTATATTAGTTTATTTAACTTCAGATCTTCCATTGCTTTATATAGTTTTAAGAATACCCATAACATAACATAACATAACAGTCACAACATTAATTGCAATTTTTTTTTGTTTAAGGTACCTCAAATTACCGCATCACAACAAAGAAGAAGGCATATGCTCAAATACCTGGATTAAGTTCTGGCGATAATACTCAAAGTCTACCACTGCGTCCTCCCATGGGTCAACCTAATATACCGCCATTTTTTACATCAACTATACCTAATATACAAAGTAATGATGCAAATCTGGACAATAATAGACGACTAACAATTGAAGCTAATACAAATATACAACAGGGAATTAATGTATTTAATCCTGTTCATCCAGACTCTAATAATGAAGAAACCACCCTATTTCATCCAGTAGTAAATTATAATGAACCAAATTTATATGACAATATGGCTAAAGAGAATATTGGCGCTATTGGACAACCGTCTAATTCAGCGATACAGTTTTATGGCCAAGATAGCCAAACAGCAGCTATTGCTCAAGCAACTCCGCCAATCATTCCTCCTCCACCTATGTTCTCTAGCGCACCGAAGAAAGATAGTCAGATTGTAGGAAAATCAGTGTTGCCACCATCGGTTGCAAGGCGCATTTCTACAAGTCATCCGATAATAAAACCTTCAATAACACAAACTTCTGTTTTGGCATCAAATATATTTGTACCCCATTTGAATCCGACAGCGGTAGATAATTCGCAAAATTCACTTAATATGGGATTACATAATGAGGCTCAAAATGCGGCGCCAACTGTAATAACACCAATGTTTGATTCAGCATCACAACCGGCTTTAAGTAATATATCTGGTACTTCTGTAATGACGCCTGATACGACACAGATACCTAATGAGGCTAAAAATATAAGTCATCAACAGTTGTCTACAGCTTTTTCGGTATCAGGATCTAATATACCAGTCGATGATTTTATGCAAACAAATATTTCAAATATTGCTACAATTGATCAGCAATCAAATATCCAGGCGACGTCTTCAAGTACTGCTGCATTGTTTGATATACAATCTTCTAATATACAGCCCGTACCATCAAATATATTTACTCCCAGTTATTCTTACAAGGATTCTGAACAGTCGTTTACTCCGACGACAACGTCTGCATCAATAAATATATTTCAGACTAATATTCAGCCAGTATTCGAACAGAAAAACTCAACTTCCACAAACACAATTCCGTTTAACAATCAAGGACATATGTTACAATCACCCACTGTTGCCCAGAATATACCTCCATCCATTTTTAATCCAAGTATTTCGCAATCTATTAGAAGTGATGGTTTGATGCAAAGCAGTCAAGAATATACAAATGTTGTTCAACCTCAAATAGCTGAACCTCCAAAATTACTTGCTGAACCTCCAAAATCAACTGGAAATGTGAGCTACCGATTAACTAAGAAACGACCGCAATATTATGCTGGACCTATTGAAGGAATTGGTTCCATAAGTAACAACATGAAACCACTTCTACCCACAGTAGAATCAAGTAGTTTTCAAGGTGCTTTATTTACACCTTCACAGCAAAACTTACCACCACTCGAACAAGAAATTGTAGCACCTAATATTGATGAAGCGACTGTGCCATTAATCAATAAACATGAAAACACTTCTTATGCACAATTTGAATTGTCTAAAACTCCAGAATATCCGTTAACTAATATGCAAAGCGATTATAACACAGCATTTGATTTAAGTAGATCAACTACGGATAAATACGAGCAGCCTCAACAGGAAACTAAAGGATTTGGAATTATCGGTTCTTTAAAATCCAAACTTAGTTCTATAGATATAAATAAGATACAGAACACTGTGACAACGTTTTTCGATCCTGGTTATAATGATACTAAAAATGAAGCATTTAATCGAGACAACATGCCTCCTAGAGATCAGTCTAATACGCAACCTGCCTACAACAGTCAAGAATTTGGTATATTCGTACCTAGTGAACAGCCTCAAATTCCGGCACAAACTTATGATTACCAGAGCTATCAAAATCTATACAATTATAATCAAAACGCACAATATCCAATGCAAGATTCGAATAATTACTATCAGAATCAGGACCAGACCCAGTTACATTCTGCAAACTATTACACAAATTTGAATCAGGACCATGTACCCAACTATAATACAGCCTCATATACGCCTACTCCTGTTATTGCAACCGATCAAAACATATTTCATAATCAACAAGTTAGTGATATAAATCTTACAAATGCCGGAGGTATAAACACAGCTTCTATTACCCTAGGTACATCAAAAGAAAACATCGAATACGTACCAAACGTATCTGTACCTGTTCAAGGAGCTGCTGGTGATAATATAACTGCTAATATAAACAAAGATGAATTTAATTTACCCATTCCAGGCTTTTTTAATTTTACGTCTCAAACACAGACAATTCCTTTAAATAAAACACCAGATTTACAAGAATCGTTCAATATATCATCAATATATGACAACGTAAGCAATAATGTAATAGATACGACAACGCATATTGTAGAACATAAATCAGCAGTAACAGAAGATTTCATAACGAATACACATACTGAAACTTCATTACAAGTAACTGCTCAAGTGAAGCATGAAAATATTGTGCCTTCGGAAGCCATTCATAGTCTTCACTCTTCAAGTCAAAATCATGAAGATATAAAAACTGCAAATACTGTCATAGAAAGACCTCATCATGTCTCAGAAAATCCTGAAACAAAAAATTACTTCCTTTCAAAAGAATCACTGTTAATGTCTGCAAAGAATCATATTCAAATACCAGAAAATACATTTTCTAAGTTCTCATTTGATGTTGACAACAAAGATACAATTCTATTTCATAATAACCAGGTATTAAATGACAAAAACCTAACTCGTCACGTTCATAGCGATTCATCGAAACAATATAACTTGAATAATACTCCAGGTACATCTTTAGAAAGCACAAAACTCGACTCCCTTATGAAAAACGTAACTCTAAATGAAATACAGAAAAGCGAATCTGAAGAATCAGTTTACGCGAGGAAGGATAGTGAAAATATCATATGTAAAGAAAAGATTCTTGATAACAATCAGGAAAATGATAGTGTTTCCAATTTTAACATTTGCGAAACATGCAGAGAGGTTAATAAACCCGAGGATAAAGAAGCGGATGATTTGACTACTCAATTAATAGAAAATATCATAGCCCCTATACAACTTCTGAACCCAGTAGAAGTTCCACTGACTGAAAGTAGTACACCTGTTGATGAACGTATTGATTTTGATACAGAACAATGTGCAGAAATATCTCACATAGCTGAAGAAACTATTGAAACACATCAATTACAGTCAGCAACAAAACTTTTAGGTGACAAACCTCTGGAAAACATTTCTACTAGGGGCTATGGATGGTGTACAGAAAACACTTTGGCCACCTCCAAAAATTTCATAGATCACGATTACTCTTTCCAAATAGACACAAACTCAATTGGTTTTTACGGTGGGAATTCTTTATTCTTTGATAATGTACCCAATAATGCTAGCGATGAAATTAAAGCTGAATACAAAAACTCACAAGAGGATATACCTCTAGTGTTACCTAGACAAATGAGTATACCTTCAGCACCTGCTCCTGATGATGATTCTAAATCCGATGAAACTGGCTTAGATGTGCTTTCTATAGAACAAGATGCAAATATAGACTTTCCTCTTTTTGAAGAATTTGTAATAGATCCTTCAGAAACTGATGATGATAAAATTGAGTATAAGGAACGCGAAAGAAGTTCCGAAGACCCTATTCCAGAAGTTGATACATTCACTAACCGAGTAGAGAAATTTAAGAAAATGGAAGAAACAGCAGTTGAAGGTCATGATGATGCGTTTAATATAAAGAAGACACAAAGAGTTGATGTCATTACAACCAATAATCCTGCTATTACTATAGCATCATATTTTGATACAGGAAATTATGCTGTAGAAACTCATTACAAAAATTCCACCTCTTTTCCATATGTACGTTTTGGTTCACCTAACGAAGTTATTCGTATACCACCTGGCTTTGAGGATGAATTTAAAAGAAAATTCAGTGGTATGTCTATAGAAGAGTTATATGGAAGTAATAAGAAAGAACCGTATGTTCCTGACACTTTTACTCAAACGCAACCATCAAATTCGCCAACATACAGTACAGCGTCTAGGCCTTTAGGTGAATTACTTAAGTCACAACAGAAAGAATCAAGAAAATCATCTTCTACATCAGAAAAATTACCTCCCTTAGCCTCCATTTTTGGTGATAACATTTTACAGAAACAAACAGAGCCTAATCAACAATTACCAACTACAAATACTGAGAAGTCCCTATTAACATCAGAAATATCATCAGCTATGGTCTTTGCAGACAGCAAAAAAGAAGATTTGCCATTCGTGGAATCAAAAAAAGAAGAATATAATGCTAAGTTAGATAAACCACTATTCGGTAACACTTCTGTCACTGCTGAAAATACTGGAACATTACATTTGTTTTCTGAAAAATCTTCACCAATTATTGAAGAAAAGCAATCACAAACACAGCCATTGCCTGATCCGATAAACTTCTTTTCATCTACTGAGAAAACTACTAGTAAGAAGCAAGAAGAAGAGAATGAAAATAATTTTAATAGATTGGCAAGTTATTTTACGGGATCAACGAATTCAGATCCAGTAAAGTCTTTTTTTGAGTTAAGCCAAAGTCAAAATCATTACAGACACGCTTCAAGTAAAAATAAACCAAATACTGAAAATAATAATTATAATCAACAGAATAGTCAGTCTTCTTTAAATCAAGATAATCTTTCAAACATTCCACACGACCAGTCTTTAAGAAATCTAATGAAGGATTTGACAAGTTTCCAAAACTTTAAAAATGACCAAGTAGTTAGGACAGTAAATTATTTTACTGTGGAATATGATAATGTAAATATAAATGAAATTAAAATAGGTGAACCAAACTATAGTCAAATTTTAGATAAAGAGATAGGTAATAAAGTTTCATCTACGGTAAATAGTGACGAAAATAAACTAGAGGAAATGAGTAATGTTCAACATTGCCTTTCTATTCTAACGCGTTGTAAATATTGCTGTAACAATGTAACTTCTGTATTGCACAAAAATTATTCAGATAAAAAAGCCATGGATAGTGAAAATACGGAATCTAAACGAGAAAGTGGTAGTAATATGGAGCGGAACAAGGCCGGCGCTAGTCAAAAAGACGTTACAGTGACATTCCAAAATGATAATGAAGAGTCAAACGAAGAAGTCGGTGTTTTGACCGAGGTATATATATGATGCATTTTCTTTAAAACTCTGCTATTAAGAGTACAATATTAGAAATTTCCGTTAAGTTTGTTTGTTGTATATCTCTGTTTGTTTAAAAAGTATTGCGACTTTGTCAGTATAATTTTGGACAACATTATCCTATGTTGTTATCCAGGAAATGGTATATCGTGTAAATTTGTGCGTCTGTCCGTTTTGCGTTGTGTAATAAACATTCTGATCTGTAATCACTGGATATATTAACATTTGTGTATTAGTAGAAAAATTGAGCATTAATATATAAAAAGCAAAGGGAAAATTTTACTTTTCGGTGGTCTAACGATTTAGAACATATCTTACAATGGTCCATTATCTTGTACAAGCTTTGCTTTGTTCCGTATTAGATGACATTCTATAAATAGACCTTTTTATTCTGTGGAAAAATCTTCAAAAGACCGTACCTTGCCTTACCTTACCTTGGAGTGGCGACAAGAGGGGGTGTATGGGATTGTTATCCACTAAAAAAACTACGGTGTACCTACAAGCGTCATAGCTGGAGTCGCGAGGTCGCGTTAGCTTTCTAGCGGTACTCCGCGACGTTAGCCCGCCTTATATGGTGTAGGATTGTTGTTAGGATGACATTTTTCGCGCTACCCAATTATTAGAAACGTATATGTAAACGCGCACGTCTCTAGGATCATTAAGATGGGGGCCTGCCTCTCTCAAGGCGAGCATCTAGGTCTCTGCATGAATAGACCTGGACCTAGATGCTCGCCTTTCGAAAGGCAGCGCCCCATTATAATTAACTAGACATATTATAATTATATAAAAGTATCAAAATATTTTTATAATAGATATATTAGCTTTCATATGTATATATGTACAAACTTAAAATGAAATCAAACTGTGCCATTACAAGCGTTGTAAAGAACGGGCAGTTGCTTGTAATCAATTCGACGCTGTATAAAAATTTTTGATCTATTAAGTTCATATGAACATTGGAAATTCTGATTAAACATTGATGATTGATGGTTGAATGAAGTAAACCAAAATCAATTATCTACGCCTAATATTTTTATAGCTAAATGTCTGTGTTGTAGCAACGTCACGTTGCGGAGTATATCCCAGTTAAACATCACTGGTTCTATCGCGTGGATCTGGAGAACAAGTCGATGTGGAGGGGATTTTCTGTAGTGGATTCAATGGCTTTGGAAGAAGCTTATCATAGCCGTGAGTATATCATAATTTTACATTCTTATTATCAATCTGATCTGACTGATTGACAATACATATGCTAAGATGGAAACAAACCACTGATTGCAAACAATCGAATATGACAATTACAAAAACAAACCATCGATTGATAAAACGCCTACTGAATCTAGATAGGCATAACCTCAAAATAATGATAGGCCACTGTCCCTTAAACAAACACTTGACAAAATAGGTGCTACAGATAGTCCCCTTTATCTAAGCTGCTTTGAAGCCGAAGAAATGGCGTACACAACGAAAAGAAATCCTCGGAACGGTGAGGTCGATCCGTGAAGCCTGTGAAGACTCGAGGAGACTTCTGCGCTTTTGAGATCAGCTTGGCTGGCTATTTTAGTAGTCTGGCTGTACACGCACAACGGCCCAGATGAGAGGCTAATTGCGGAGAGTGGAGTCCAACTTACATTACATTACATTACATAAGCTAAGTAGTTGAGTCAGATACTTTTTGGAAATGGTAGAACATGCTTTTTGATCTCGCATAGCCGAGTGTATGTTCTGATCTTCCTTCCTCACTCCCCTAATTTCCCCTAACTACCCCCTTATTACTTCTTAAAACCCTGGTAACGTACTTGCAATTCCCCTGATGTTGCTGGTACCGGACCCGTCAAACTCTACCATACCATTAAATAAATTAATGACCACTTTCCATGCAGCCACTTTGGATGAGAACACGCTGGTGGCAACGGACGGTGGACGGTACGACGTAAATGTCATCGGCAGGCTCAGGATAGCTGTGTATTGGTCAGACAAACCGACAAATGTCATGCGGTTAGTATTTATCACTGTCCTGCGTTGTGAGGATAGCCGCTTGGGTTTTTATATAAAATAATAAAGACGGACGACGACGATTGTATGTTCTTTATTCGAGGACCGGAAACGGACGACAACATTAGGAAAATAATCTAAGCACAGAGTACAAAATAATAAAATAACTTTTTCTAAATATTAAGTATTTGGATACTCTAACAATCACTACAGTCAACTTTGTATACGGTCTATCCGATTCTTCATTATAGGATACTCGCCCCAACTTCGCACGGGTGTACATGTATTATACATATAAACTTTCTTCTTGAATTACTCTATCATTAATCTCTAGCATAATTAATATGCATTTAATGCATAGTTTAAAAGATCTAAAAAACAGACAGCGGGTGCGACTTAATTTATATACTATATAAAGATTAGCTATTTTTATTTATTTCTTTAATTTATTCTATACATATATTTTACATATTTTCATACCTAAATATACTATTTCTATATCTCTAATTGCTTTATAGTTTTCATAAAATTCCGATACTCGAATGTGTTACTCGAACTTCGAATTTCTTTGTAGTTTATTTAACTTCAATGAACGCAATACTAAAGATGATGATCGTGGGTTCGATTCCTCGTGCCGATGACAATCATACTCATGAATACAAGTGTTTGCACCTTGTCAGGAATCGAGGTACAGCGGTGTCCTATACCACCGAGGCCGTCAAAATTTCGCTCCTAAGTTAATTAATAAATTCATTAAATTCTAATAACTATATAAATGTTAATATATCTTTTTAAATATATAGATGCAGCTGGTTCTACAAAGGTACAACGGACCCTAGATATGTACCCTACACGGAGGAAATCGCTGAGAAGCTAGAGGTAATCATATACATATATTACTAGCTGTGTCCGCGACTTCATTTGCGTATTATAGTGACCTTGAGAATTAAGAAAAAATATTCCATAAACCTAACCCAAAAAGGCAAAGAAAAGTTTCATCAACAACAAACTTTCATCCTCTATTTTATTTTACCCCCTCAAGGATAACATTTGTACAAACTTTTAATGTCATACTTATTTATATTTAACTAACAGCCCAAAAAATAAATGTCAAACTTCTAGCTATAACAATTACGATACTTCCATGCAACACTTCATCCCCTTTCAACCCTTTTTTCGTATTAAAAAGTAGCCTATATCGGCTATTAAACAACATACTATAAATCTACTAGCTGTCCCGGCAAACGTTGTATTGCATTAAAATAAAAAAAAATTTAGGGGTGGACTACCTTGGCCGATTCTCAGACCTACTCAATACGCTCACAAAATTTCATGAGAATCCGTCAAGCCGTTTTGGAGGAGTATGGGAACGAAAACTGTGACACGAGAATTTTATATATAAGATTAATTTACACATGTATATGTATATATATATATATATAATACTGTTTCCAGGAGGAGTACAGACATGGCATTACAACGGGCGAATGGCACAGACGTCTGCTACTCCCAAACAACGAGTCGGTCGTGATGCACGGCCCCGCTGTCATGGTACATCTATATATATATATACGCATTCAGTTCCACACCCGTGAGTGTCTAGAACATTCTAGAATATCAAAATTTCCTTCTCCCAACACTGCGTCTGCTACTCCCAAACAACGAGTCGGTCGTGATGCACGGCCCCGCTGTCATGGTACATCTTCTGCAAAACGCTACAGACGCGTTCAGTTCCACACCCGTAAGTGTCTAGAACATTCTAGAATATGATATATATATATGATACATCTGCAAATTGAATTTTATAGTGTCCACAGCCCATTGACCCTATTTCCAAATACCTTTAATCCTTTTTAACCTATCCTCATCCTGAATTCCCAGCTGTTCACCTTCGGCAAACGGGTATACCGCAGCCCACTCAAAATCAGGGTACCAGGAGACCAGCGCGAGGAGATTGACCACTTACTACTCCTGGTGCACGGCGCCGGCGAGTACAGGATACAAAAAGAAAAGAATGTTAGTGTTTCAGAAGATTTAAGATATACTCCGTCATACTCGTGAATGTAGACTGGTCTGCTGTAGAATAGAATAGAATAGAAATTCTTATTTAGTTACAAAACCAGTTGATCGTGTATTCAATATTTTGACTCTAATGAATTAGTGCTATTTGGTAGTTTGTATTCACACATTTCAACTAAAAAATGTAAAGTTACAATGATTATTTAAAAGAGCAACACGCAAGTTTATTGCTAGTTCTTTTTGTGATGAGTCTGCGTTCCGAATGAGTGGCAGAATAAAAATATATTCAAAAGTGCTTGTATAGAGTTTATTTGAATAAATATTATTTTTATTTCTATTTGGCTTTTAAAACAAAATTACGATGAAATAGAAAAGATATGCAGTGTAATAAAACTATAATATACATAAATTAAATACACACATATATATAAGTAAAATATAAATTATAAGTTTATATATACATTTTACATAGACCACCCACTCACTCACACACATACACACATACACACACACACACATACGCGCGCACACACACACATGCACTATGCACTCACGTTTAAACTGAAAACTAGATGTATAACAAATTGATATGAAGGGGAGACCTGGTGTCTGAGGTACAGGCTGTGGCTTAGTTTGGGCTCCAGATTTCCCACAAATTATATTTGTGATTTTTATTGTTGGCATTTATATAATAAAACTGGAATAATGTACTTTGTGGAATTGAAATAATATTTATTTATTTATTTAATAGTGGGTTATTCAACAAGTTGTGTATGTTGATAAAGATTTATTTATTTTACTTGCAGCAATCGTCGATGCGGCCGCGCGTGGTGCGGCGAGGTTGGGATGAATCCGAAATAGAAGATACTGAGCCATCCAGCGTGGACCACCTGCTGCTGTTCTGCCACGGTGTGGGTTCCGCCTGTGATATGCGCTTCCGTTCTGTAGAGGAAGTCGGTAAGTGATTTGTGGTAAATAATTACCACATAACATTATCAAATCTATACATATAAATGAAATTGGAGTGTCTGTTTGTAATATTGAAATAACCGTTATTTACTCATGTATATGAATATAAATACGGTATATACACCAAAAAAACATTTTTCACAATTTTTGTCTGTCTGTCTGTCGGTCTGTTTGTTCCGGCTAATCTCTGAAATGGCTGGACCGATTTTAACCGGACTTTTTTTGGTAGGTAGCTGATGTAAGAAGGAGTAACTTAGGCTGCTTGTATTTTAGAAAAATAAAGTTAAATTCCACGCGTACGAAGTTGCGGGAACAGCTAGTAAAAAATATATCTTATACATATATATAAAATTCTAGTGACTATTCAAAAGTATATTAAGTTTATTTGAATAAAGAATATTGATATTTCTTACCTTTCGGAGCTTGTTTACCATTCAAATTCAACATTTCTTCCAATATTGTTACCATTGTTACACCTGTACCAGACGCAAACCTAATCATTTCTCTTCATCATAAGGTTGCCTGGAAGGGATCGCTTTTTAGCAATAAGGCCGCCCATTGTTACCTAAACAATAAACAAGACAAAGATCTTGTTTATTGTTTTTTTTTATCATTTAACACATAATTGTGTATGTAATTGTATTTTCTGTGAGAGGAACAATAAAAAGTTTCATTCATTCATTCAAATTACATGAAAAATAAACTGAAATATATTTGTTTAGTCTGTCTATTCTATTTTACTTGTAAACATATTTTGACCAGCAATGAATGCACGAATAGGCCTATGTCCAGTAGTGAACTGTAGTGGACTGCATTGGACTGATGATAATGATGAATATACAAATGAATTGATGATGATGAACTTTGATGAATTTCTTTTTAATTTCAGTGGACGACTTCAGAGCCACTAGTCTGCAGCTGGTCAAATCGCACTACAGAAATTCATACGAGAACGGAGCTGTCAATAGAGTCGAGGTGAGACTTTTAATTTTTATTGGTAATACTTTCATCATCTGCTTCTTCCTTATCCCATTTATTTGTGGCCGTCGTAATATATTTTCCTCTACCATACATCCCTGTTGGCAATCATCTCGTTATTTACTCCCATTCTTACTGTATAATCGTGTTTTGTAACGCTTTATTGTACAATACATTTAAAATCACAGGATACAAGGTTTTTCGTTGTATCCTTTAATTTTAAATGTATTGTATATGTATGATTATATATGTACTGCATGCATATTTTGTCAAACTGAAAAGGAAACGCCACTACACATCTTATGTAGTTGTAGCCCATTTATGCATAAACAAAATATCTTCTATGGAGAGTTTACACGCTATCCTGAGGAGATAAAAACCATCGCTCCTAAGAATATCTTTCAATTCTTGTCCCTGACTGGTCTAGGTAGCGAACTCTGGAAAAGGGCGAGCACAATAGATTTATGTACGTCGCAGTGATATAAGTCCAAGCACCTGACAAGATCGGAAAGTAAAATTAATGTATTTATTCTGCAGGTTTTACCCATCTCGTGGCATTCAACCCTGCATTCAGGGGAGACGGGGGTGGACCGCCGCATCGCGCAGATAACCCTCGACAGCATCCCCAAACTTAGGACGTTCACAAACGAAACAGTTCTGGATGTGTTGTTTTATACCAGTCCAATTTTTTGTCAGGTAAGAATTGGTGTTGAAGAAACTTGGGTCTAAAATATAGTATATTTTAAAGATAGTGTTACATTCACAACACTAACCTTTGGGGTCCACATATAAATGTGAATATATAAATATATAATCACATATAAATTCCAAATTTGAATTTAAAAATGAATCTGTGTTATTGTAAACATGTACAACATTTGTTTGAAATGAATACGAGCTGAGTTTCTTGCACATTATTACTAAGTTTCTTTCTGTATTTTAGGCACAATCATCTGCTTCTTTCTTATCCCATTTATTTTATTACCTTATTAATGGTCGTCGTAATATGTTTTTCTCTTCCTTTCATCCCTGTTCGCAGCCATCTCGTTATTTACTCCCTTTCTCACTGTATCATCTCACACACAGTCCATCCATCTCTTTTTCGGTCTTCCTTTGCCCTTTTAACTATCAAATTCAAGTTCAAAATATCTTTATTCATGTAGGTCTATTACTCTCTTACAATATGTCAAATCTTGACGGTAGATTTAACATATTGTAAGAGAGTAATAGCATATTGTAGTTCGGAACGATTTTGATATGAGAAGAACTCGCTAGAAAGTATATTTTTTTTTTATTAATATGTAAAGATACAATGACAAATATTTTTTTTTACATTCCAGACGATCATAGACACGGTGTGTTCAGAAATGAACCGTATATACAAGTTGTTTAGAGCACGCAATCCAAAGTTCAACGGTCGGGTGTCTCTAGGCGGCCACTCTCTCGGCAGTGTCATATTATACGACTTACTCTGTCATCAGCCGGTAAGTAGAATACATCATAACATAGTATAAAACAAAGTCGCGCTCGCTGTCTGTCCGTCACTATATATATCTTTAAAATTACGCAACGGATTTGTAGCGGTTTCTTTAATAGATAGAGTGATTCAAGAGGAAGTTTTATATATATATAATACATGCACCCGTGCGAAGTCGGGGCGAGTAGCTAGTAATCAATGTAAAAAGAAGCCGAGTCCACTGCCTGTTCTTTTAAATCTTTTAAACTACGCAAGTGATTTTAATGCAGTTTTCAGCAATAGATAGAGTGATTCAAGAGGAAGGTTTATATGTATAATACATGTACACCCAGGCGAAGCCGGAGCGGGTAGCTAGTGACATATAAAAAGAACAGTTCTAGAAATTAAAAAGCAACTCGTCACGATTTCGTTACGATGCATTCCAATCTTTGAATTTTTCGCCTTGTTCTATACTATTATATGATATGCATGTATTATAGATTGTCTTCGTGAGTATAATTGTTTGCTTCGCTTGGGCCTAGATGGCGCTGTGTGAATTGTCCAGGATTGATATTATTATTTATTAAACTTAAAAAAAATTGTCATCTCCCCTCTTAAGGAGAGATGATGGCAACTTACCCCCGGCAGAAGCACAGTCGGCAGGGGATCAGGGCCCCAGGGAGAGAGACCGGCGTACAATGCGGGCAGAATTTTTTTTACCATTATTATTTATCTTATATTTGACCTCAAAGAAAGTAACAATCACCCACACGGGTCTTAAGCTTATTTTTTAATGTATTTTACAAAGAGTTGTATATGTTGTATGTTAATAGGACGAAGAGGCGTCGGACAAGAATTACGTGTCCGGCCCGGCCGGCACCGGACAGGAATCCGTCCGGTTTCCACGGCTCGAGTTCTCCCCGGCGGCACTTTACGCATTTGGAAGCCCAATAGGTGGGTTGTTATTTTAAACTTTTGTTTAAGTAGCAATTTTTTTTATTGATAATGGTATGGTACTGTTGACTGGCACCAGTGGATGATGATAGGATGAACATGAGGTCAGGAAGGTCGCGGGTTCGATTCCTCGCATAATACAAACATTTGAATTCATGACTTTGTATTTCTCTGAATGTTATCATATCAACGGCGTTGGTCTATCGGTATAGCGCGTCGAGGTCGCAAGTTCAATTGCTAACACATTCCAAACATTTATATTAATGAGTATGACTGTTTGTATTGATCTGAGTGTTTTCTATGTGATTATGTATTTGACAATAAAACGTATAAGTATTTACATCAGTTGTCTAGTACCCATAACACAAGCTCTACTTAGCTTGAGACTAGATGACGCTGTGTTAATTGTCCAGGGTTATTTATTTATTGGTATAAGTAGTTATATCAGTTGTCTAGTACCCATAACACAAGCTCTGCTTACCGTGGGATAGCGCTGTGTGAATCACACAATTAACACAGCTCCATCTAGTCCCACAGTAAGCAGAGCTGAGAGGGTTATTTATTATTTAATATTTTTCCAGCTATTTTCGAGTGCATCCGCGGCGTGGAGTCGCTGGGTGCTGACTTCGCGTTGCCAACATGCAAGAATTTCTTCAACATATTCCATCCATACGATCCCATAGCTTACAGGTGAATCAAATCAAATCAAATCAAATGATAGAAATAAAAGTTTTGTCGCGCCGTGGTGAACCTGTGCTCCGTGGTGTGCTAATATGGTTGAGTGCAATTATGGCTGGCTCATCCATCATACTTTTGAACGGGTGATGCTTTTGATGACTGGGCAGTTCAGGTTACAAACACTGATTAGACTATTTGCTTTTGCATTAGCATATGCTGGTTGTCACTCTATTCTCCCAATTTTGAATTTAAAAATGAAACTGTATTATTGTAAACATGTGCAAGATTTATTTGAAAAGAATACTAGCTGAGTTTCTTGTCAGTTCTTCTCATCTTTATTCATGTAGGAGTATTACAGATTATGATATCTCAAATCTACTGTCAGTTCGAAATGATTTCGAGATGAGAAGAACTGACATGAAATTATACTTTTACTCGTATTCTTTTCAAATCACACATGTACATTTTTTTTTATTACCACTTATGTACTATTTTGGCGTAACTTAGCAATTTCTATTCTATTCTATTATTAAATTTATTTTTATTATTATTCCAGGATTGAACCTCTAATCAACCCCCGACTGAAGAGTGTGAAGCCTTATCTCATACCGCACCACAAGGGCAGAAAGCGAATGCATTTGGGTAAGAATGACTTCACGATGTGTCCATTCATTCTTGTTTAGAAAATCTCTCAAAACATCCCTCCCTTTTAAAACAAAAAAGACAGGACACTTTCATCGACTTATAATCTATACATATACATAAAATTGGAGTGTCTGTTTGTAATATTGAAATAACCGTTTTTTACTATAAGCATATGAATATAAATATGGTACATGCACCAAAATAACATTTTTTATAATTCTTGTCTGTCTTTCTGTCTGTTTGTTCAGTGTAATCTCTGAAATGGCTGGGCCGATTTTGACGCGACTTTTTGGCAAGTAGCTGATGCAATAAGGGATAACTTAGGCTACTTTTATTTTAGAAAAATAAAGTAATGACAAAATTCCACGCGGACGAAGTCGCGGGTACAGCTAGTCATATAATATGAATATGATCACCAATAGACAAGGTCGCACTGCTTCCGGCAAACGTTGTTTTGCCATATAAATTATTCTTGGTATTAAAAAATAGGAGTTGGTGATAGAAGGGTGAAAATTTAGGATTGAATGTGTTTTTTAATACCACGTTATTAATAAAATACAATATTAGAGTTGGACAATCCTTATCACTTAGAAGTATGAAAAATAGAAAGTAGCCGATTCTCAGACCTACTGAATATGCATATATTATTTCATAAAAATCGGACAAGCCGTTTCAGAGGAGTATGGTAACTAATATTGTGACACGAGAATTTTATATATAAGATTTTATAAATACTAATAACAATTATTGTATGTAGAATTGAAGGAGACGATGGCGCGCGTGGGTGCTGACCTGAAGCAGAAGCTGCTGGAGTCACTGAAGGCCACGTGGACCAGCATGTGGCGGACGCCGCCCCCGCCCAACGACGGACAACTAGAGAAGGTAATAATTATAATAATAATAATAATCACAGGACAATTCACACCACTAGACCTCATACAGACTCAGATACTCGCGCCATCTAGACCAAAGTTGAGCTAGCTAAAGCTTATGTTATGGATACTAGATAACTGATACAAATATATAGATAAACTGATACAATTATATAGATATTTTTTCCTAAATAATATACATACATATCTATACATATAAACAAAATTTGAGTGTCTGTTTGTAATGTTGAAATAACCGTTTTTTACTACATGCATATGAATATAAATACGGTACATACACTGAAATAACATTTTTTACAATTTTTGTCTGTCTGTCTGTCTGTTTGTTCCGGCTAATCTCTGAAATAGCTGGACCGATTTTGACGGGACTTTTTTGGCAGGTAGGTGATGTAATACGGTGTAACTTAGGCTACTTTTATTTTAGAAATCTCTAATTAACTTTTTTGTTATATTCCACACGTACGAAGTCGCGATACATATGTATGTATGTTATTTACATCTTGAGGCAACTATAATAATATATGTATCCTCCAACCGAAATACAGCTTACAAAGCAAGCTGCTTGGTTCCTAAAATAGGTTAAGGTTGAAATACAGTACCCACGTTGATACGTTTTTAGTCTGTAAAACTTGATTTAACTTTATACATCATCATCTGCTTCTTCCTTATTCTGATTTTCCCATTTATTTGGGGTCGTCATAATATGTTTTTCTCTTCCATTCGTCCCTGTTTAACTTTATATATATTTTAATAATAATGATAATTTATTCAACATAACATAATACAGAGTGAAAAATGTTTTCTAATATTGTTTGCAGGTAGTTGAAGAAGAAATGGAGAAAGAGAACTTATGCGAGGAAAATAAAGATGTCATCCCTCAAGATATTGATGCGGTGAGTTACATAAATAAACTAGCTGTGCCCATGTTTTACCCGCGTGGCATTTATAGCCTATGTTGTAACTGGCTAATGAGAAATGTGTTTTATATCTAAATTTGTATTTAAAATTTGTAGTTCCTTTTGTAGGTCCTTGTTTGTTACTTTCATTCTATTCTGTTTATGTCAGTAGTCTATCCTAATATGAATTTTTCTCCGTATACCAAATCCTTTTCTTACCTGTACAAATATAATAAAATACAACAGCCTGTATGTTATTCTTATGTATAAGCTATATTACTGGAAAGTTTCATCAAATTACGTTTAGTAGTTTTTGCGTGAAACAGTAACAAAGGATCCACTATATCACCGAGGCCGGTGGTATAGTGGTTTAGCATTCCGATTTACCTTCGATGGTCGCTAGTTCTATCCTATCCACCCCGACCACACTTTTACACACACACACGACACCGTCCTCGCCAATATCGCGCAATCAACCGGGCGCTCCATACCGGCGCCCCTCCGATCGATCCCCCGTCCAATTCAAACGGGGATCGAAATTACGACGGCCTGGGCCGAGGTTCGAACCCCTAGTGGTGCCCTCAGACTAAAGTCGTATCCGTCAGGCAGGAGTTGGCTTTCAGCCGCTCCATAAGTCCTTCCGCGGGTTTGGAGTGCCATCTGCACTCGCCCCCTAACGTCCAGTGAAGCTGTAAAGGCCAGCTGCGGCCAACAGCATTCCAGTAGTCCGAAAAAAAAGCTAGTTCTATTTCTCGCACAGTACAAACATTTGTATTCATGAGTATAATTGTTTATATCGGTCTTCTTGTTTGTTATATATATTATGTGTGTATTTATATAAAAAATGAAAAAATTGACTAATAATAATAATAATTACGGCCTCGGTAGTCTAGCGGTTTAGCACACAGAATTACTTTCGATGGTCGCGAGGTTGATGATCTGCACGTACAAACATTTGTATTCATGAGTGTAATTGTTTGTATTGTCTGGGTGTTTTCTATGTATATTATGTATGTATTTACTAAAATAAATGTATTTTTAAGTATTTGTATCAGTTGTCTAGTATCTATAATACAAGCTGGACCTGGGTCCTCCGATGGTTGTATGTTCGATTCCTCGGTCGATACAAACTTTTTTATTAATGAATATGATTATTTATGTGGTTGTATCTACATCTATTATGTATGTATTTATTTAAATAAATTATTTATTTTGTAAATACATACATAATATATACATTTTTTTTACTATACTATACAATAAATAACAATTGTCTATTATAGAACCCCTAACTCAAGCTCTGCTTAACAGGGTACTTGGTATCCTAAGTGAATTATCCAGGGACATTATTTAAAAAAAAAAAATAAAAAAAAATCTATTTAATTTTTAATTTCATTCAGGCTACATGGCCCATATTTTAAATACCTTATTATAGAGTAACATACATAGGAAATAATAATAAAATACAATTGATTTTAAAATACAATTTAAGGAACCCCTTTTAATAATATATTTTAGTCATCATATTATATTTTTTGAGCTTTTTAATTTTAGATTCTTAGTTGTACAATTAGGTTATGTAAATACTAGTAATAAATATAATTCAAATATTAATTAGTGTAATAGTAAAATAATATATCATTGATTTTAGATGTGAGCGTCGAGACATCGACGCCATTTTTTTTTATCTAGGATTTTTTTTTATTATGTGATGCAGTCAACTCCTGAAGTGATGGGGAGGTTGAACAACGGGCGGCGAGTGGACTTCGTGCTCCAGGAGGCGCCTTTTGAGATGATCAACGAGTACCTCTTCGCCATGACCAGCCACGTTTGTTATTGGTTAGTTTTTTTTACGGTCTTGGAAGCCTAGTGGTTTAGCACACTATACATTTTTTGGTCGCGGGGTCGGTTCCTCGTTCGGTACAAACATTTGTATTTATAAGTATGACTGTTTCACAATATATTAGAGTTGGGCGTAGTGGTTTGATACACCGATTTAGTTCCGATGGTCGCGAGTTTGTACCCTCGCACGGTACAAACATTTTTATTCATAAGTTTGATTGTTTGTATTATCTGAGTGTTTGCTGTGTATATTATGTATGTATTTACAAAAAAATATATTTAAGTATTTCAATCAGTTGTCTAGTACCTATAGTGTAAGCACTGTTTACCTTGGGACTAGATGGCGCTGTGTGAATTATCCTAAGATGTTATAATTATACTAGCTTTTCCCGCAAACGTTATATTGCCATATAATATAATATGGCTATTAAAAATAGGAATTGGTGTGAAGTAGAGGCGTGAAAATTTTGGGTTGTCTATATTTTTAATGCCGCATTATAAAAAAAAAAACACCAAAAAATTAAAATAAAATCTAATTAATAAGTGATAGGGGACTTATTAAAAATAGATAGTAGCGGATTCTCAGACCTACTGAATATGCATATAAAATTTCATAAAAATCGGTCAATAAGGAGGATGGTAAATAACATTGTGACACGAGAATTTTATATATAAAATGAAGATTTTGATTGTGGTCTGTTCGTCACGACAGGGAGTCCGAAGACACGATGCTGATGATATTGAGGGAGGTGTACTCGAGTATGGGGGTGCAGCCGGACGGCAGTGTCCCCCAGCAAAGTCTCACCGTTCAACGCACCCGGCTACAGCGAGAGGTATATAAATATACTAGCTGACCCTACAAACGTCGTTTTGCCATATAAATAAATTTGCTATTAAAAAATTAGGGTTGATGACAGAAGGGTGAAAATTTAGGTTTGTATTTTTAATGCCACATTATAAAAAGTAATAAAAAATTCTCCAATAATTAAAAAATAATGTTAGCGGTGGACAACCCTTAATACTTAGGGGTATGAAAAATAGTTAGGAGCCGATTCTCAGAGCTAGTGAATATGCATATAACATATAGAAGGGTGAAAATTTATGGTTGTATGTATTTTTAATGTCACATAATAAAAAAAATGGTCGAAAACATGAAATAAAAGTTTTGGGGTGAGCCACCCTTAACACTTACTAGTATAAAAAATAGTTATATACCTATTCTCAGACCTACTGAATATACATAGAAAATTTCATCAAAATTGGACAGGACGTTAAACACGAATAAACACGAAACACGAAACACGTGAATTTTATATTCAACTAACTGTCCCGGCAAACGTTGTTTTGCCTTAAAATAAAAAAAAAATAGGGGTGGACCAACATTTAGGGGGATGAAAAATAGATGTTGGCCGATTCTCAGACCTACTCAATACGCTCACAAAATTTCATGAGAATCGGTCAAGCCGTTTCGGAGGAGTATGGGAACGAAAACTGTGACACGAGAATTTTATATATAAGATAATTGTGCAATTTTTTTTTAATAATAAATTGAACGAACCGCTCTCCGAACCTCTAGCGAAGTCCACTAGCTTAAGTGCTAGATGTCAGACATTAGTTGTCCTTCAGCCGCTCCATAAGTCCTTCCTCCAGTTTGGAGTGCCATCTACACTCGCCCCCTATCGTCCGGTGAAGCTGTAAAGGCCAGCCGCAGCCAACATTAGAGTAGTCCGAAAAAAGAGATTAGTGTGTACATTTAAGTAAATAACATGAACATGTTCTGTATGAATAACTGAATCTAAAATAAAATGCCTGAAATAAGATTCTAGTGTCGTACAACTTTCTCTGTAAAAAATAAACTTACATACAGAGTGACTAATTGCAATATTTTCTGTTACAGGATGAAACTATTATCGTGAACACAACAGGTAAATATAATTGTATACATAATTAATCATTCCATATAGTTTCCCGTAAATATTTATTTATTTAAGTGTTGAACTTAATAAAGTAAATCTACTGCTAATAATTAACTAACTTAACAAAAACTTAAGTATTGAACTGCACAAAAATAATGTGTACATATGACGAACTTAATACCTTGTGGCGATCTACCAGGCAACCATGAGTGGTGCAGAGAAAGATTGTTAACTTATAAAAATGATACATGTCATAATAATAATATTATTAAATAATATCTCAGGACAATTCACACAGCGTCATCTAGTCCCGAGCTAAGCAAAGCTTGTGTTATGGGTACTAGACAACTTATATAAATACATAGAAAACACTTAGACCAATACAAACTCATGTATACCAATGATTAAATCATAGGAGGAATAGAACCCACGACCGTCAGTAGTAAGACAATGAGCTAAACCGTTGGACCGTTATTTAAATCGTAACTATGAATGAGTAATATATGTATTTAACTATATTTTATTGTTTGCAGATCACCCATCTACAAGTCGCGGAGAAACCTGATACAGTAAATATTAATATAGTAATTAACATTAGGTAGTATGTACACTACAAATGGCTACATGTAATAACAAATTCACTGTTAATATAATTTTTTTATTTATTCAATTCAGGCTACATGGGCCATATTATATGTACCTTATAAACTAACTTACATAAGAAATAATAATAAAATATAAATTCAAATTGTCTATGGTCACGGCACTGACGACGGCAATAGACCACGGTAGCGCCGATACACCACACCCTTCGACCATATATATATAAAAGTCGCAAGAAAAAGCCAAAAAATGATTATAAAAAAATATCTATGTAAAAATATATTGGCATATTTATGTAGTGTCTCGTTTTAGTCAATGAGCCCGAGCAAAGCCGGGGCTTTTGAATTAGTTTATTATAATGATTTTCGTCGCCATTTGTACTAATAAATTGTATGCAATTACAGGTGAAGTGATTTAAAGACGGTTTTTGCGTTTGTAGTAGTGTATAGTCAGCAGATAAATATGTACGCAGGTATTTTATATACCAATTTCTTTTTATCTCCGATCAATCCCCCTTTCAATTTAAACGGGGATCGAAATCGACCCCCTAGCGGTGCCCTCAGACTAACTCACAGGCGGTAGTTGGCCTTCAACCACTCCATAAGTCCTTTGGTTTGGAGTGCCATCTGCACTCGCCCCCTACAGTCCGGTGAAGCTGTAAAGGCGACCAACAGTATTAAAATAGTCCGAAATATTGTTATTTTTGTAGCTAAATAATTATTGTTACACATATAAAATGTAATTTTTAATCGTAAATATCTGAAATAAAAACATTAATTTCATTATCAAGAAAATGAGAAAAAACAAAATAGCAGATATTTTCAACGCATCTTACGAAGTAGTGTTACGCTTGTATTGACTACCGGAAACCTGTTTATTCCGATTTTTCTGTCTGTACACTACCGCAAAAACATCTTAAATTTCTTTTGCCTGTATATTGAATATAGGAAAATTAAACATAAAACAGCAAATACTCGAACAAAATTTCATTTTGTTTATTCCTGTAAATGAACGTTGATTCGACTAATCTACGTAAAATTAAAAAAAAAAAATAGAAAAAAAAAACATGTATCTGCAATTCCAATATTGTACAGAAGTTAGTTATTGATTATCAATTGTACTTTATTATTTAAATATTTATATTGTTATATTGTATTTATAAATAAAAAAATTAATGATGTAAGAATAAAATTGTTGTGATTTAATTATACGACACCGTTTTGGTATGTAAGAGGAATAATAAACAAGCGATGGTAAGTGGTACCGTCGAAATATACATGAAATATACATCACGTTATCATGTGTGATTATCACCCGTGATAACACGCGTTGTCATTCCAGAAGACTAAGCTGTCATGCCTCTTAACCTGTAATTTAATATATAAGAAATTAGAAAAATAAAATTTTAAATGTTCGTGTTTTATACATTATTTATATTGTTAACCGGGTTTTAACACGAACTAATTTTATGGAAAATAAAGGTATTTACCTGTCTCGACATTTCGACTAGTTGTACTAGCCGTGGTCACGAGCTGACAGGAGTAACAGCGATGTCAATATAGATAGGTGACAGCAGTTTTTTCGCCTACCGTCACTAGTGATGGTAGAGGTAAATACCTTTATTTGCTATAAAATTAGTTGGTGTTAAGACCCAGTTAATAATATAAATAATGTAGATAAAAAATATGTTTTATGTTGGATGTCATCAAAATGTACACCATATGTTTATTTTGCAAACAACAATAAACGATTAAAACTTAGATTAAATTCTTATTTATCGCAATGTCACTTTGTATATACATATTTCTAGAAACTACGTAATTCTGGCATAATTTAATAATTATAATAATAGTAAAAATAATAATAAATTTATACATTCTAAATGTTAATAGTAATAATATATTGTACGATGTAATCAATAATAAATAAATCATACGATTTATTTGTATCTTCAATCTTTACGATGAAGCCTCTGTGGCGTAGACAGAGAACAAATATGTTAACGGCCTCTGTAATTAAGATACTGTTGTTTACCATGCAAAAATAATGTGTCGTAATGTAAAGGCGATTAGGTTGAAAATTTTATTTGTTAATTCCATTATTTAAACAGTTCTGACATTTAGCTATTGTGTATCAAAATTATATTTAAAAAAAAATTACAATTAGCCACAAATATTAGACTTTCCGGTACTTGTTTCTATAGCGACTATAGCATAAAGAAAGGCATTATGTAAAGCAAAATCATTTTACATTTATTTTTTGCACACAAAATTGGCTACAGGCGAACTTATTGCCTGATGACAGTCAAACGTCGCGTTTATCAGGAAAAAGAAGGAAAAACACTAATAAATAACTATCTATCTATAACTCTGCTGTGTTTTCATAGAAAATTTAAATCACTTAATAAACTTTGGAGTAAAGTCTTATATTTGTCGTGACTTGTCAATTTGTTAGTTGAAAGTACCGTTTTTTCCCAAACGCCGAATTCATCCCGTATCTCAAACACTGCTGTATATTGCGGCGGTGAAAATTGTTGGTTATGATTATATGATTATATATACGTTACTATATTTAGGACTAAACGTATCAATGTTTTAAATTTGCGGAATAAAAAACCTCCCACTTTTGTTTTTATATTTATTAAGGTTTATTCTGAATGACCACTTTCTAAATGGAAAAAAATATAAACGAAAATCGTGATTTAGTAGTTTTGGGAAAATATTGTTTACAAATAAACAATTATTTTCGACTGTCTAATACCCAAGACTTCGTCTGGCTTGTAATTAGTACTTGGGAAACGTTATTTTTATTTTTAAGATTCCTTGAGGTTTATCCATATGAAAATTTGTGCTCATAATGATTTATTTAATGAATAAAATACAATACTAATTTCACCCACATGAAATTTATAGCCTTTGTTATTCAGATGTAGATATAAGCTATATTATTATAATGTTTCATTAAAAACAGTGCAGTAGTTTTTGTGTGAGAAAGTAATTATCCTACATCCATCCATTCATAGCTACACACAAACTTCCGCGTTTATAATTTCTGTTCTCTATCTACAACTAAAGTATCTGGCAGTATTTGATAAGTGGGTATTTTTCTTTTCCAATTATTTAGAAAGTGGTACCTAGGAATGAATTCATTTGTTAAGTTTTTTTGACAATATTATAAACATGTAAAACTAACAGTACCTAATTAGTTAAAAATAAATAAAATTTATATTTTACTAAATTTATTGTTTTATTTTTTACTAGTGTCGCTCGCAACTGATAGCGTGTATATATAAATTGATCCCCCGATCATTTCAAAGGGGGAAATTACGACGGCCTGAGCCAAGGTTCGAACACCTAACCTCAGAATAAAGTCGTATCCGTCAGGCGGGCGTTGTTGGCCTTCAGCAACTCCATAAATTCTTCCCTTGGTTTGGAGTCCCATCTGGACTTCCCTCCTATCGTCTGATGTAAAGGCCAGTTGCGGCCAACATTAAAGTAGCCCAGAAAAAAATTGTTGATGGTAAGAATAAATAAAGCAACAGCAAATTTTTTTTTTATGATAATTTAACTATTTAAACAGCTATATGTCATATATAACTCACTATTATACGCCTACATTTATGTATGTATATTATTATTGTCATATATATGAATTTATGTTTATAGATATAAAGGTACCCACAGAATACTAAAGTTGTGGCACCTCGTCACCGCATATGCTGAGCGGAGACCTATTTAGTACCGCAGATAATGACCCAAATAGTATTTAATAAATTCCCCTTGTTGTATGTATATTTTATGTGTATATAATAAACTATTTTCTTTCTTTACTTTATTAAAATTGTACAATATATGAAAATTTTAAATAAAATTGTACAATGTGTTAAACTTCCATTCCGGTAGCTGTTTTTACATGTATCATCAAACATTGTTCTTACACGTTTTCTCCAGAATATACTAAAATACACTCTCAAAATTATCACGCGCCTCCATAATAGTTCTGTCAACAGGAACAAAGCAAGAAAAGCCACTATATACAAGTAGTATGTACACTATAATCCAGCAGGCACGGATGGAAAATTTCATGATATCTTTATATTTATATAGCACTTTATTGGATTTAAATATAATTGGTTTATTTATTTTCGATTTTTTACACTTTTCAGTTATATCTTTCAATTTTATTGGTATTTTCTTTGTGACATCAACATTATTTTTAGTAATAAATTCACCGTCTATATCAACCTTGTACCATGATTTGTGCTTATCAAAAATATGGGTCTCTGCTTTTCTATCATTCTTTAACGGGCGTGATATCATGATATTATGATACAATCGTAATTTACAATGAGTGGCTCATAAACTTCTGAATCCATTAAATATTTTTAATTTTATTACTATTTTTGTACAACATCAAATTTAAATTGTATGCCGTCTGAACATTGCCTTGTAATTCTGTATTATTCAGTACATTATATGTCAATAAATAAGTTTTAAGGTAAGAAAAGAGGTTTGTTATGATTTTTACGATCTCGGTGTTCTACCGTGGTATACCGCCTTACATTCTATGATAGCAAGATCGATTCTTCGCACGGTAATTTCGACCTTAGCTTGAATGATTATACGCCTTAAAAACTGTTGAAACACGGTGTGTCATTGACCTCTCGAGTGAGAACGGTGTCATGTAACTGTGATAGAGGTACAGACTGTAGGATTATAGTCAGTAAAATAAAACACACGAGTATCAAATTACATATAATTGAGACAGGTTTCAACACAAAATAAATGCAGTTTGACATGTATTTTTGCGCGCGTTATACAAACCATTACAATACAATAATATAATCACTAACAAATCAACCAACTTAAGCACGTTAGATGTTTTAAGAGTTGCAATTTATTCAGTACAAAATTCATTTATGGTATAGGTGTATTACAATATAAGTGCGTTATGATGGCTATAACACACGAGGCGGAATACCAGCCTGAGCCGTAGACGAGGGCGTAATGAAGCTGAGTGTGTTAAATACGCACGTATATCGTACGACGTTTTTAAACACGCTTCATTTTAAATTAACTCAACCATAAAACTATGATACACACTGTTGTTTGCCCTCCGTTTTACTTTTTTAAACCAGCGCACTGCCTACCCGCTGACGCCGCTCGAAATTTGATAAAAAAGCAAATAGTACAGTTATGGAATATTACTTCACTATTTGCGTTTATAAAGCTTATAACGTGGTTTATGACCTGCTTCATATGTTGAAAATCGGTGAAATTAGATCAATTTTATGAGCAAGTGTGTTGAAAATTTATTAAAAAGTGTTTCTTACCAAATTAAAATTAACTGTGAGACAATATATACTCTTTTTACCGGACTAAGTGTGCTGGTATACAGTCGGTTAGTCGTCAGGTTGCCTGATTAGATAAAATAACGAATACTAATCAACTTCATAGTTTTCTGTCACATACTATGTCGTTCATTTCTAATTATTTCTTCAATCTACTCGTTACTATACAAACAGTACTGTTTTATAAAAATACTCGACCTTAATTTCGTTCACTTATCTACAACATCATCATATACTGTAACACACAAGATATAATATATGAAAAAGAATTGATGCTACTTGAGTTATATTGCCTCTGCATACCCATTTAGGAGTCTAGCATGAGTTACATATATGGCAACACGTTTTTGTGAAAATCTTGATATGCCCATATATCCCTGGATGGATGGATGCATTTTGATTGAAAATGGTAAGTGGCGATCCTACCACCGTTTCTCAGATTTGTTTTACAATCCGTGGTTCTTTTATCGGAGAGTTAGTCACATATAAATTGACACGTTTATTTGGTGTCTATATTTGACATTACGCTCTTTAAGGCAGATTGAATACCACAAAATGAACTGAAGTTTTTATTAACTTTCGTACAAAACAAAATTACTATCAGGACAAAATAAAAGTAAGAAATATTTAACTTTTCGTGCTATAACATAATGGTAGTCTTTAGGACCAAATGGTAGTTTTAGCTGTTAAACATTTCACATTTTCTACCATAACTAAAAATTTAAATTAACGCTTACTTAAGGATGCTTAACAATACGTATAAAAACATATGAAACTTATATTTATATCTAGTTATACACTAAAAGAGATATACTATATGTTCTGCCTGAAATATTGCAATATATTAATTATAAATATACAGAAAATTAATTATAAATTAGTTATTGTATGCGTTATATATGTAGTGTATAGTATCTTGTGAATATCGAATCCGCGGAAGCTAGTGTGCTAAAAGCAAGGCCACCGAGGCTGTCGAATAAATATATATATATATATATATCTATATATATATTGCTTGAACCCGTATGCACCTTTATTAATGTATTTGTGCATTAAAGTTTTAATATATATATATATATATATATATCAGTAAACAATGAAAACATACTTCAGGCAGCTTAAATATTAAATTTGTGGCTCAATAAAGATATATAACTATAAAAAAAAAAATCAATACAAAAATTGTACACCAATTGAAACCACTGGACTAAATCCCGTGGGACTGGGATTCCACATTCTATACAACACTAAAATTAAGTATACATAAATTTCGAGGTGAAAACAGTCTATTCGATCACAAATAATCCCGGGATTAAACAATATAATGGAACAACACAACTTAGAAAAAATAATTCAAAACAGAGATTAACGGCAAAAATTGCTGTCTACAAACGCAGAGGACTTTATACATAGACGTCCTCGTACATCGGGGTAGTTTTTAATAACATATTTACGACTCTGGGTACTATCCATTCTGGCCACTGAGACAGTCACTTTAAATTTTCTTCTAACATAAACATCTCTTCAAAAGATCGACACATAAGTTTCTTGCTCATTCTTCTTAAGATGAATCTGCATTCCGAATGAAAAATATGACTATATAAGTCGAATAAAGATTATTTATACTTCATTATAATTACAGTAAAATTAACATGTTAAAAACCCGGGATATAAACCAACACACAACATATGAGATCTCGGTAAGAACACAACAATCCCGTAATCCCGTGGGATTTTTTCGCCAATGATATTCAACGGGCTGTACGTACGCACTGCGTGTTTACTCGAACACGAGCGAAGCACTCGCGTAGGAGACGGACGAGTCCTGCGGGTTTACGCACTGAGAAGACTGCGCGTATTTTAGAAATTTCATGGCCATTCTCGGTGCATTTTGTTGCGACTGAAGCTTCGCTATTGCCTGAAGAAAAAATAGGATATATAAGTAGATTTGGCAAAACTGAAAACATCTTACTACTATTATAAATGAAGGAGTTTGTGCGTGTTGATGGATGGATGTTCGTTAGTCTTTCACGCAAAAATTACTGAACAGATTTTGATGAAACTTTACAGTAATATAGCTTATACATCAGAATAACATAGGCGCAATTTCACGCGGGTAAAATCACGGGCACAGCTTATTAATAATTTATTAATAATTAATAATAAATTGGATTACATTAATTAGATACATATATAATATAATAATAATATGGACAAATCACACTGCGCTACCTAGCTCCAAGCAAAGCAGAGCTTGTGTTATGGGTACTAGACGACTGAAACAAATAGATACATTTTCTTTGTAAAAAAATACATAATATACATAGAAAGTACCCAGACTCAATCATACCGGTATAAGCGACGGCTACCACTTACCATCAGGCGGGCCGTAACCTTGTTTATCACTGGTATCACATAAAAAAGGTGTACATACCTGCAGCAACACTCCTATGGGGTGTCTTCCACAGATTGTGTTCCCATACTTATGCAAATAATCAGAGAAGGCGCGCGGATCCATTTTTTCGATTAAATCCATACCCTAACAAACAATTATTTATTTTATTATTTATTAGATATAATAATTATATGCCTGAACAATTCACACAGAGAATGGGATTTGGGTGTGGACCTGCACCGACCAGGGTGCCCCTTTTTTTTTTGTGTGGTGGGGTGGGATCGCCCCCGCGGTCGTCACCCCGGCCCGGTAGCGATCTAGGGGCGGCCTGGGCCGCCCCTGCCTCCTTGATTGCTGGGAGGGGAGTTTCCTCCCTTCCTTTTGGGCGGGGTGCACTTCTTGCTCCCCACCCAATGGTCCGCCGGCCGCCCCTGGGAGCGGTGCACCTGCCTGCGCTAACGGTTTACGCTGGCGGGGCCCCAGTGGAGAGTTATAAGATGAGTATGAGGTCAGGTCAGTTAGCCCATCGTGACAAATACACCAGGAATTTATCACGATGGTGTCCAGGGAGAACCGCGTAGATGCCAACCTGACATGGTATATTGTTAATAATGGGGTCATGAGTCCACATTACTAACAATTCCCTTCCTCTCTACTATGAGTATTAACACAGATGATGTGATTACAGACCTGTTTGTCCAGCCATTCGATGCTCTGGTGAATAGCTCCCCGCGAGGAGTCCTTCCAGGTATACCGAAACCTGGAGCCCCAGTGGCAGAAGTCGGATGATATTACTAGTAAATTCTGCGGGTCGGCCAGGTAGGGGGCGAGGATAGAGCCGTATCTATAAAAAAATAATAAGATATACTTTGTTTTTTATTTTTTGAAATTTATAGCCCATATGTTATTCTGATATGTAAGCTATATTACTGTACAGTTTCATCAAAATCCGTTCAGTAGTTTTTGCGTAACAAACATCCACTCATCTCTCTATCTATTCATACTCACAAAAATTATGTTCATTTAGAAGTTATATAAATAAATAAATAGTTTGAATTTTATTTACATGTATTTATTATGTGTCATTTTTAGATTTTATGTTAATACTAGCTGACCCGCGCAACTACGTCTGCGTTTAATTCCCTTTTACAATATTTTTCATTGCAGCTTCGCTTCTATTGGTCGTAGCGTTATGTTATATAGCTTAAAGCCTTTCTCGATAGAATAGAATAGAATAGAATAGAATAGAATAGAATAGAATAGAATAGAATAGAATAGAATAGAATAGAATAGAATAGAATAGAATAGAATAGAATAGAATAGAATAGAATAGAATAGAATAGAATAGAATAGAATAGAAAATCATTTATTCAAATAAACTTAATTTAAGCACTTTTGAATAGTCATAACAATTTGTTTTTTATCTACCACTCGTTCGGAAAGCTGTCTCATCACAAGAAGACGATAAATGTACTATCGAACACAAAAATAATATTTCAATTCGAAACAATAGTTTCATATATTAGGGCGTTCATATTATATATAAAATTATCGTGTCACAATTTTATTTACCATACTGTACCATTATATTTACCAACCAGCTTGACTGATTTTTATGAAAATTTATATGCATATTTAGTAGGTCTGAGAATCGGCTACTATCTATTTTTCATACTTCTAAGTGAGAAGGGTTGTCCATCCCTAACATTTTCATATGTTTATAATCTGGCATTAAAAAATACAATAAAACCCCGAATTTTCACCCTCCTACCATCAACCCCTATTTTTTAATAGCTTTTAATTCTATGCCTAAACAACGTTTGCGGAGTCAGCTTTTTACAAGACGAGGGATTTTATTTGCGACATCCTTACTTTTAGATGTATTACTTACAATGATAATGTAGTTATTTTTGAACTTTCGTGTTTAATATACATTATTTAAATTATTAACCGGGTCTTAACACGGCTACAAGCTGACTGGTCACCCGGTTAATAATTTAAATAATAATAATGTATTTTACTTTTGTTGGTATGTAAGGCTGTTAGGACGATCACACTTACTTTGCTTCCTTTTCTGGCGTCAGAGATCCAACTAAAATTGGTATAATCGTAAAGCCAGTTTTGTATCTGGAAAGAAAAATCAGAAAATAAACTTACAAATTATTTCATCACAAATTCCAGAGAGATATCAAATCTTTTCATATCATAAAATAGAGTCGAGGCCGCTGTCTGTTCGCTTAGATATATCTTTTAAATTACGCAACGGATTTTAATGCAATTTTCAGCAATAGATAGAGAATTGCTCTATCTTTTGAAAAACTGAAGAGGTTTATATGTATAATACATGCGTGTTATAGTACGGAACTGGCCGAGAAATTTAAAGATTTGTAATGTATCTCAGTTATTAATAATCTTATTAACTATATATATATATATATATATATATATATATATATATAGAACTATTCTCTGTGTATTCAACTGGATATAAAAAATATTTTAGATACTAGTTCTTTCCTCTATTGATATAATTATTAGAAAATGATTGAACATAAAAAGAATTAGGAAGTGAGTGAACATAACCGAAATATAATAGACACCACATCTATTTTTATTTGACGGACTCTATGATCTAGCCTTTTACCACACTGCTTCACTTCTGATGGTAGAGGGTTCGATTCCTCGCACGTTATAAACATTTGTATTAATGAATTGTTTGTATCTATCTGGGTGTTCTCATATTATACATGGCAAACACCCAGACCGATACAAACAATCAGACTCATAAATAGAAATGTACTGTACTGTGCGAAGAATCAAACCTACAATCATCGGAAGTAAGTCGGTGTTCTAAACCGCAAGACCACCGAGGCAGTCAGACCTCTGACTCATTCATCATTGTTATATGTACAGATATAAATATACATACTCTTCCATAACTTTAGCTATGTAAGGCAGGTGCATTTCTATAGAATGCTCATCTTCGTCCGTCTGGACATCCATCCATTCGAACTGCCGCGTTGCCTCCAACTCTGCGTATACTAAAAAAATAAAAGATTTTCAAAATAAACATGCTACTGCCAAAAAACTGTCTGAAGATATATAACATGAGACTATATGTATATTCTTTACACATTAATTAATAATAATAATTATTTTTTTTTTGTTTTTGTTCTGTAATTGGTGCAATAAAGAGTATAAATAAAAAAAAAAATAATTTCATATTTTACTAGCTGTGCCTGCGGTTTCGCGGCCCGCTTGAAATTTATAGCCTGTATGTTATTCTGATGTATAAGTTATATTACTGTAAAGTTTCATCAAAATCCGTTCAGTAGTTTTTACGTGAAAGCGTAAAAAACATCCATCCATACTCACAAACTTTCGCGTTTATAATATTAACTAGCTCTTGCCCGCGGCTTCGCTCGCGTATCAGAATCCTTTCTTAGGGGATGCCTATGTCATAGTAGCTTTATGCATACAAAGTCTCAGCCCGATCGGTTTAAAATTGACAAAGTTTCATACAAACTTTCATCCCCTATTTTATCCCCTTGGAGGTAGAATTAATCAAAATCCTTTTTTAGCGGATGCCTACGTCATAACATCTACCTGCATGACATGGTTTGGGCTGTGTGTTGATAGATCAATACGTCAGTCACCTTTTGAGTTATATAATTGAATTAAAAAAGTATACATTGCTTACTTTGTTTGTCTATGGTTAAGTCGTATAGCGGAAGGGTTGAAAAAGTGGATATAAACAAATAATTAAATGAAAAGAGTGTACATTACTCACTTTGTTTGTCTATGGTTAGGTCGTATAGCGGTGTCTGGTACTTGTCCAGAGAGGACAGCGCACACCCACCTAGCCGTACGTGATGCGATGGACCCAGTATAAACACACGTTTCCTGAAAGAATTACGTTACGTCCGGTTAAGCTGAGAAACTACAACCAATAGCATAGTTTTAATAAAAAAAAACTTTAGGCAAGATGCAATAGCATATGCTGGTCAAAACATCTGATAAATCATAGTATAGTTATATAGTTGTTCATGCATGGTATTATCACTTAGTGTTAGACATAGACGCCTGATAAAGAAATTAAAAAAAAAACTTTTGAGATTCTTGCCATTTCTTCTCAATTGAATCTGTATACTGTATATTAATACAAAAAAATTTACCTTCATAAGCGGTTAAAATGTCCTACATGAATAAATGATTATTAAATTCAATTTTGCCCTTTTTAAATGAAAATGAAAAAAAATGAAGAAAATGTAAAAAGTCCCTGAAACTCACACAACAACTGGGCTAACTTGTCTGTAGGCGAATGCGGCGCACGCACCGCAGTATGAATACCCTGCATGCCTGCAAAAAATATTAATAAAAATTAGTTGTTGAATAGAATCCATACTAATATTATAAATGACTCGAGTGTTAGAATGTATTTGTGTGTGTGTGAGAGAGAAAGAGAGAGAGGGAGAGGGGGGGGGGGGGGGAGAGAGAGAATAATGTATAGTGAACTGTTCCTTTTGTCTTAATTTATACTACAGTTTTTGGTATTTTCTCAGTGTCCTTTCATTATTAACCTCAAATGGACTAAAAAAAAGTGTCTGTATGTATTTGTATCATTTGTCTAGTACCCAATGATACGGTTATAAGATCTGCTTAAGTTACGTCAAGATGGATCCACGTGAATTATCCAGGACTATTATTATTATTAAATTGTCACACATCTGTATCCTGTAAATTCATTGCCATATCAGAAATATGTCCAACAAAACATTATTTTAATTTATCATGATGGTTTTCAGGATTCCAGGATCATGGATTGCAACCTGACATGGTACTGTAGCGCGGTGGTTATCATCTCACCACTATAGCGTTATATATAATGTGACGAGGTGTCGCTACATAATATATTGTTTATTGTAGTATGTGGGTAGTGAGTATACCGGTGAAATGATTGTACTATTCATTGTACATTAGTAAATTTATTTGATAGTGTGCTACATGGCTTATTAGTAACGCGCACATTGGACGCGGAGTCGGAACGTAGATTGATGTTACACTGAACTTAAATCAATGTTAGTGGAGACGTAAACTAAGAGAAGGGTCTCAAGTCTTGACAGAAATATTACAAGTGTAGACACAGTATTAGCAATAGGGTCATCAGTCCACATGATTAACAATCCCTTTTCCACAGCTGCTAAGATATTGCTTCCAAACAATAGGCCGGACTGATATATCCAAGAAGATGAATTTATACAAAATGTACTTAAGTGATATTAGTTATTTTGGCAAAATAAACTTACGGTGCAATGATGGCTCGCGCGGGGCCATGCGTGAGATCCGCTTTTGATAACCACAGGTCCAGCTGCCTGGAGAGTTCAGTTCCTGCACACATTACTTGGTTTATAAAGTTGGAAATTTTCACATTTAGCCTTGGGGAGATGGACCTAGTCAACCTTGTTGGCCGGTAGTTTATCTAGGAGAAGGAAATCTCTGATTTCAAACCAAGTCACTAACGCGCCTGCCCCGCGTGGTGACTATGGGCTAAACTTCCCAATGAAAAGTACGCAAAATGTGTGGCCCCCAGTACCCGGCAGCCCAGCTATTCCTTGCCAAGGTGAAGGTGGCCGGGATTGGATGAATGCGGAAGGCGGACATGGTGGAAGTCTTTGGGAAAGGCCTATGTCCAACAGTGGACAGACACAGGCTGATGATGATCACATATAGCACTGCACCACTCATGGTTGCCTGGTAGATAACGCCGCAAGGTGTTAAGTCCGCCATATGTACACATTGTTTTTGTGCATTGAAGTTAAATAAATAAAAATAAATATAGACTTACAATCATCTAATTTCCCAGTAGTACATATCACATCATCAAGAATCAATGAAGATATATTCTATTTTATTCTATTATCATACTAGGTGAGTAATTGTAAGTAATTAGTTACAATAATAAAGATTACTGTGAATTTACAGTTAAATTCACAGTAATCTTTACATATCACATCCTCAGCATTTAATGATTTCATTATATCACAGACCTAGTATAATAATTAAAGTATTATTGTACTAGGTGAGTAATTGTAACTATTTAGTTACAACAAATAACTGAGAAATTTCGAATTTTTAATTAAAACTTTAGGGGAGATTTTCCACACTTTGTGATTTTTTTTTAATACAGTAAGATTTTATGATTTATAATAAATAAATCATAAAATGCTGACAAGGTGAAAACTGTCCTATTGCAATAATTAATGTAAAAATGGTTATAGGAATTATTATTACCTTTTCACAGAATATATTGGTAAATACATTTCTATATTTAGGTTAAATTAATTTGGGAAAAATATCACCTAAAGGAGGCAATAAACATTTTTAATATAGCTACAAGTACATAAATGCATTCATTAGTAACATAAGAAACAGTACTGTATAGTTGCTTTACTTGTTGTTATTTATCATCAATAGATGGTGTTGTTAAAAATCTTTATTATAAGATCGGTATAAACAATTCTTACAAATGTTATAACCTCAAAAGTTTATGGGTATGGATGGATGTTTGTTAGTCTTTCACACAAAAACTGCTGACTGGATTTTGATGAAACTTTACAGTAACATAGCTTATACATCAGAATAACACATAGGCTATAATTTAAAAAGATATTATGTAAATTGGGCATATATAATGATGAATGTGATGCAGCTAGTATATTATAAAATTCTTAATTGAAAATACAATGTAAATATGAAGTTTAAAATGTCATCAATAGATGGGTATCGACAAAATTATGTGTGTTAACATCACTATGTCAACTTGCCATGCAAGTAAATGCTTCTCTGTTTAGTGTTAAGAAGAAATAAAAGTTCCAATTGATCAAATAACTATATTTATATACAATTATTATTTAAAGATATAAACAAAACAAATTAATCATCCATCATTTTAGCTATTTTATCGGACACTTCCTTCAGTAGTTTTTCATTGAATTTCGGGAACTTAGACTCAAATTCAGATTTTAAACTTTCCAAATCGAATCTGTCTTTATCTAAATCTTCAATATTCTTCTGTGACTTTTCATACTCTTTGAATTTGTCTATGTCCAAGTTTGAATGTTTTTTAATCTGTTCCAATCCTTCAATGGCATCATTCACAGCATCCAGCAGTTGTTTATGGCCAGTGTCTTTATTGTAGCCAAAATCAATATTTTTAGTTTCCAATTTGTCCAGACAAGCCTGTTCTGTGGCTGATAGATTTTGGAGAAGCTCTTCAGCATTGGAAGACTCTGTCATAGAGTAGAAATGTGATGAATCTTGATTTTTTAAATCTAGTAATCTGTAATTTAAAAAAGTGTATTTTAAATTTGGTATATATAGTAATACTAGCTGTCCCAGCAAACATTGTTTTGCCTTAAATTAAAAAAAATTTAGGGGTGGACTACCCCTAACATTTAGGGGGATGAAAAATAGATGTTGGCCGATTCTCAGACCTACTTAATACGCTCACAAAATTTCATGATAATCGGTTTAGACGTTTCGGACGAGTATGGGAATGAAAAATGTGACACGAGAATTTTATATATAAGATTACCCTATATGTTATTCTGTTGTATAAGCTATATTACTGCAAAGTTTTATCAATATCCAGCAGTTCTTGCATGGAAGATTAACAAACATCCATCCATACTCACAAACATTTCCATTTATAATATAAGATATTACTCAGATCAAACTATGATAAGAAATCATAGTAGTTTTTACTCATAATAGATGTCTGCTATAGACCTACAGGTATGTTTTGCACTGTTTCATAGAAACATAAAGCTACTAAGCAGTGCATGTTACAAAGTTGTAAGTTAAAATTTCACATACCTCTTTTGCTCTACCACAAATGATATATCCTTCAGTCTCCTATTGGTTTTATCTAAGTGATCCACTGTTTTTTCAAATCTATCAGCTAATTGTGCCATTTGTATGTCCATTTTTGTTTGTTCCAACTCAATTTTCTCGTCAACCAAACAATCTTCTAGCATTGCGCGTAAAAACTTTCCGTAAGCTATTTGACGGTGTTCAGCATTAAAATCGGGCATGGAAACTTCTTGGCGCATCATAGTCACGTCTGCTTCACCCAATATTGTTGTGTTTTTATTACTTTTAGGTCGGCCGACATTCGTTTCTTTCGCAGTTGCAATTTTCCCGCGCGACGACGTTGTAATAGTACTAACTGTTGATGGTCGTTTGGTTTTCACAACTTTTGATGTCGACGGAGGCATTGTTTTTGATTTCTCAGACATTTTAAACGATCTTTTAACACATAAAATCCAATAACAGAATAATTTTTTACTTCTCAAATTGACGTTTATTTGAATGGCTGTCAGTGTTGTCATAGCAACGACAAAATGATTTCGGTTCAGTTTGAAAATCAAACAAGGCTTTTTCATAACAATAGGTTGTTTAATGTGTATATAAGTGAAAACAATATGATTTTAAATAAATATAAGAAATAAAATCTATTAATATAAGTAATCATCTAATTTAACTATAATAATAAAAAGTACAAATTAAGATTTTAATTTCTGAACGCAACAAACGAGTTCACAATATTTTACTTGTCATTGTAATGTCATACTACAGTCAATGACTTCAATCAGTCTGGTCATTCAAAGTAAAACTTCAATGAAATGAGTCAAACAGACGATAAAAAGTCAAATGACAAACTTTTAATCTAATTAAAAAAATACAGAACAAAAATTAATAACAACAAAAACATTCTGTTTACAAATTTGTTCAAAAGCATTATTTAATATTATTAAAAAAAAAGACTCAGTTTTTATGGACACATAAATGCACATTCCTATAGTTTTATCCAGGCAGTTAAAACACACTTCATTGTTAATTGCAGTTTCCAAAATTAATATTCGTATGTAAATAAAACAACCACAAATTTCGTTACGTAGTGATTTACGAAGTCATACAAAGAAAGGTCATTAACCTATATTATTATAATTATTACTGAATACAGTCAGGATTGAAAGGGATACAATGTGTAGTTTGGCAAGTTAATAGTAATTTTAAAATAGCTTTAAATGGATGCAAAATTTAATTCTGGTAAATTGCTTATATTACAATAATTATAACAGAAGGGTACATACCATTTTCTGTGTACCAACTACCAGCATGAGAAGCATTGCGACAAGACATTTTTAAATAGAAATATTAATTGTTTGTATCGTATGAATAAAATAATTACTTTCACAAATCACAATGATCACAATAAAAAAAATATCGTTTGACGTTGATTGATGTAAATAAAGCATAGTCAATATCACTTTACTTTTGCACTGTATTCGACTAACCACAGAGAAAAGAAATTAAAGGAATTGTAGGCTCCTAATGTATTTAATTCTGCATTATTTGCCATTTCGAAACAAACAATTACTAAATAAAAATTATAAAAGATTGCCTAAAAATATTCTGCAGTAATCCTTTATTTTAACTAAGCATTGGTATTTACATACATCAATAAATTTATAAAAATCTACTCTATGCTTCATCGCAGTTCAGAAATTCGGAATACGTACTTGACATGTTACATGACATTATAAATTTATTATATTTTAACTGTTATGTTTTAGAAATTCTTTATTAAAATTTATGTTGACTCTTTATAGTGTTTTATTTTATAAATTATAAAAGGTAAATAAAAATACATTATAATTTTAAGTCAGTACCCACTGCACTACGTGTTTTCCTTTGATTTGCTGAAAGTTCTGATAACTGTTCCCATTACTATTCATTATTATGTTCATAACATTTAATAAACATCAATTGATATTTATTTTATTACTAAAATATATCAAATATGTTAAGTTATTAAAGTAATTCAATTACAAACATTATTGTGTTATTTAATTGTGCAGATATTTTTAATTTATGTATAACATATATACTTAACTATTATTATTCACAGTACAGTTTATTCCTACGCCATCCTGGAACTTCATAATTTAGTAATCTAATTATTAAATTAAATATGAAAATGATCTCAATATTAGGTAAGCATATAAACACTTTATTGTAATATATACCATCCTGGCATTGCCTGGGTGCACTTAACTTGATGAGTTTTATAAAAATGAACAGAGCACCTATGTATGTATTTCAAGTTTGTTTACTACTACATTACAATTTATAATCCCTCTGACTAGCCACTCTGGGTAACTGTTGTGAAGTTATATTTTGTTTATGTATAGTCTATGTAACTCTGTAAAAACAAATTTTATTACTTTTTCATTATTTTTAAAATTAACTGCAAATAGCTGAGCAACTGTAAAATGAAGACTGAACTGAGCACATGTGATAGAAAATAGATATATTATTATTAAAAATGTTAAAAATGAAATTATAGGCATATCAGAATAACAAGTATTACTACATTGTTTTGGAAAATATTATGAAATAAATCTAACAGGGATGTAATTACTGCAAAATCCTTACTAATGTTATAACTGTGAAAGTAACTCCGTCTAACTGTAATCTGTCTGTCTGTCCTGCTGTCACACCAAAACTACTGAACCAATTTGAATTAAATTAGACACATGGTCTAGATTCTGAGAAAGGCATAGGCTACTTTTTGATATGAAATAGAGTTGTATGTGTTGAAAGGTTGTATGGAAGTATTGCCATTTTTGAAGCTAGAAGCTTGAAACTTATTTTTGGGCTAGGCTTTGATTAAATATAAATAAACATGACAAACAAAGTTTGTAAAAATTTGACCCTTGGTGTAAAATAAAGTAGGAGAAAATAAAGATTTCATCCTTCTAGTTTCAAAAATGATGAATTTCCATACAATATGTCAAACTGTTCTCATTTTTAAATTTTCTTAGGCTTTTTATAATTAGCCTAAATAATTAAAAATGCAGGCCCAGCTAGTATAATATCTATCTATCTAAGTTTACAATTTTTTCCAATTATATATAATTGAAAAAAACTGTGAACTCAAAAGTTAACAGTAAAAAAGGCTATTATTGTTATTGAAATAAATAATGTAATTGTTTAATTCCAGCTCGTATGAATAGCTGTAAGTTTGCTCATGTCAGTATAGCAGCATACAGCATACAGTCAAAGACATTGGCCAAGCCGAAGACAGCTATTGTGATGTTAAACATGGGTGGACCACAGACCACAGATCAGGTAGACTTTGTATTAAGTTCTTAACAACTGAATCTGTAAAATTAGTGAAATAATTATACAATTATTTCAAATTCAAATTGAAAACGCTGGAGGAAGCCTTTGTGTCTAAAGGACATGTTGACTCAGAGACTGATGTGCAAAATTAAAAGTAGTTTATGTTACTTTTAATTATAATATATATAACTAATATTTCTTTTATCTTTTAAACTTTTAATTAAATATTTTGGTTAGAATATATAATTTTGTGTCGATTAATAAAGGTTTTGAATTTGAATTTGTATAATTATTTATTTAATATTAACTATAATTATGGACTCCTTTAAACAGGGGCCGATTGTGATTTTGTGGGGCCCTGGACTAAATCTGTTTAGGGGCCAACCTAATTATATTGCTCAATTAAATAAATACACTGACCAAAAACAAGCGACCAGAAATTCCCATTCCTTTCGATAGACACACTTTTATGGGTTGAGCTCAGGTTTGCAGTTTTTTTAATATTCTAGATATTTTTTATATTCCAAATATTGTTTCAGTGCGGATTAGCCCAGGGCTCAGAGGATACAAAGGGCCCCCCTTTGTATCCTCGGCGCTCTGGGCTGCAGCCCAAAAAGCCCTTAGATAGATTCTCCCCTGCCTTTAAATCTGATTCATAGTTTTATTTACATTGTTATTTAATATTATATGTATAATTCCTCAGGTTGGAGAATATCTGCTGCGCATCATGACAGACCGCGACATGATACAGCTCCCAGTGCAGAGTAAGCTGGGCCCGTGGATCGCCACGCGCAGGACCGAGGAGGTGAAGAAGAAGTACAGCGAGATTGGTGGCGGTTCACCCATATTGAAATGGACTAATACACAGGGTGAGTACAATTATCAGGCTATACATATACACAGGATGAGTAAAATTATCGGGCTATACATATACACAGGGTGAGTACAATTATCAGGCTGTACATATACACAGGTTGAGTCCAATTATCAGGCTATACATATACACAGGTTGAGTACAATTATCAGGCTATACATATACACAGGTTGGATCTAATTATCAGGCTATACATATACACAGGTTGAGTCTAATTATCAGGCTATACATATATACAGGTTGAGTCCAATTATCAGGCTATACATATACACAGGTTGAGTACAATTATCAGGCTATACATATACACAGGTTGAGTCCAATTATCAGGCTATACATATACACAGGTTGAGTCCAATTATCAGGCTATACATATACACAGGTTGAGTACAATTATCAGGCTATACATATACACAGGTTGAGTCCAATTATCAGGCTATACATATACACAGGTTGAGTCCAATTATCAGGCTATACATATACACAGGTTGAGTCCAATTATCAGGCTATACATATACACAGGTTGAGTCCAATTATCAGGCTATACATATACGCAGGCTGAGTGCAATTATCAGACTGTAGATACTTGTAGTAATACTTTTACAATTATATGTTTTAATTAGTATATTTTCGCCCATACTGAAATGGACTAATACTCAGAGTGAGTACAATTATCAGCCTATACAATACTATACATAGACAGAAGCCAAATAAATATTATTTATTTGATTTGATTTGATTAAGTCTGATGCTTGTCTTCAGGTAGAATGCTGACGGAAGCTCTAGACCAGATGTTACCTGAAACGGCACCACATAAGCATTACGTCGCGTTTCGATATGTTCCTCCATTTACTGAAGATGCCTTCCAGGAAATTGAACGGTAACTTTTTTTGTAACTACATGAACATAGAAGGAAAGACTCTCTCTTTCCTTCCTCAAAAAGATTTTTGTTACTGCATGAATGTGGATAGAAATGGATAGGACTATCAGAAAGAATATAGATGGTGATGAATTATAATACGGGAATGTTCCACAGTGCATGTACAACAGACAATAATGAAAAATTGAAATTTACATTCTATATAACAAGATAATAGAGTCCATTTTCGAATAGTCCCCCTGAGGGGCGTGGGCCCCACGTTGGGAACACTGGTCTATTATGTTTTCAATTCACAGCGACGGTGTGGAGAGGGCGGTGATCTTCTCTCAGTATCCTCAATACAGCTGCGCTACAACTGGCTCCAGTTTGAATGCAATAGCAGACTTCTACAGGAATAGGTATGTGTATTTATTACATGAGCGACCCATCACAGCTTCGCACGCATACATTACAAATCACTCTATCTATTGCTGAAAACTGCATTAAAATCCGTTGCGTAATTTAAAAGATATAAACGAACAGATGGCGGCGGTGACTTTGTTTTATAATATGTAAAGAAGAAGAAAGAAAATAAATATGTTTATTACTATATACGTCATAAAACAAAAACTTTGTACACAGTTTTACGTTTTACGAAATGGTGCAGACGGAGGAGTTTGAAAGGCACACTTATAGTTTATATACGATATGCTGAATGCTAATATTTTTACGTATAATTAGTAAAAATCACGGCATCTTACCACATTTATATACACTGACAAACATGAGTTTACCCGTGATCATGGTGGTTGAAACACTGCCGAAATATCGGGAACTCAACAAATGAATACAAAACGTGGTAAGATCTCGTGATTTTAATTATACGTATAAATAATGACTGCGTCAAATTTAAAACAGCTAATATTTTTTTAAATTATGCTTTAAAAATACATTAAATCAATAAAAACAATATTATACTCAGATGTATTTGACACAAACAAGCATACTCTTTTGTTTATTGTTAAATTCTGTGGTCAAATTGAGAATAGATTAATATTGTTTGTCTATAATGTTATTTGTCTATGGTCTTGCTGCATGTTATATTAATAATGGTCGAATTTCGACCATTAGGCGACCACAAGTTATTAGTATTGTTTAGTACTCTTAACACATGCTCTGTCTGGCTTGGGTCTAGATAGCGCCATGAAATGTCCTCAATTGGTGCCCAGCAAGCATACACTGTTAACGCAGGCAGCTTCGCCATTCCAAATACACTTCCAATTAAAACAAATAATTGATTTCTTTCTTTCTTTCTTTCTTTAAAATTTGAGCCAGTTCGTTCATGATAGTAGCAAGGCGTGTCTTATATTTGGTGCTTGTTCTCCCAAATTGTGGCGATGTTGGCACAGTTTTGAAGTTCAAAGTTGGTGATGTAGATTGGTGCTTTTAAGATGCAGTTTTGACAGCGTTGGAGTTATCAATATTTCAGTGACAGGCGTTCAAATACACTAATTAAAACAATTGTAAAATTATTACCAGAAACATGTGTAGCCTGATATTTGGACTCATCCTGTGTGTTGGAGTTGTGGACTGTGGGTTTCCTCCTTATCGTCGTTCGTGTCGTCTGCTTGGGTAGGCTTCGTGGCAGAAGTGTCGAGGGCGATATAAATAAAAGATCGGCCCGTGTATAACCAATTAACTTATATTTAGAATTATTTACAGTAAGATACGATGTTAGTTCAACGATGGCGTTCGGAAGAGAGAGAGAGTTGCCATCATACAAATTTAAATGGATTTTTTTTATTTAATATTTTACGGCTCTGGATACAAGTCCTTTTTAGCTTTAAATGTAAATTATTATTAATGTTGCCAATTATAATTAATTAAACAAAATGTATTTCAGAGAGGTGCCAAGTGGTATAAAATTCAGCATGATAGAACGGTGGCCCACACATCCTCTACTGGCGAAGGTATTCGCTGAACGGATCAAGGAGAAGCTACAAGCGTTTGATAGTACAATAAGGAATGACGTGGTGATACTGTTCACAGCTCATAGCCTGCCTTTGAAGGTATGTTGTATGTACCATATCATCCTTACTAATATTATAAATGCGAAAGTAACTCTGTCTGTCTGTCTGTCTGTCTGTCTCGCTTTCACGCCAAAACTACTGAACCGATTTAAATGAAATTTAGTACGCAGATAGTCTAGACGCAGAGGAAGGACATAGGCTACTTTTTAATGCGTAAAAAGGGTTGTAAGGGGTTCAAAATGGAAATACAAGGTTATCTTTATGCGGTTGAATCTTTATTCGTCATCTTTTCATTTCACTAGCGTACAGCCAATCAACACATCGCGTACGTTTGCGCCATTCGCCATCTTTTCATTTCACTAGCTAACAACCAATCAACACATCGCGTGCGTTTGCGCCAATAAAGTATCCATCAGGGAACAAAACCACAGATAACATAATGTAAAACGAAAGATCTTGCCGGAAACATGACGTTGACGTTTAGTGAAAATATTGTTTTTGACACTTTTTTATGATAAAATCGTATATCGTGTGTATGTGTTTTTTCTTTAAACCTGAAATTGGCCGATTGCGAGACAAATTTGGCGATTTTTTTTATTAATTTGTTTTACGGCTCTGGATACAAGCCCAGTTTAGCCCAACTTAAAGTTTTACAATATAAACTACAAAAATTAAAGTCAATGTCCAATGTTAAATAATAATAAATGTCAAATTTTAATGTTGTTTCCCTGTTCTGACAAAATTAAAAAAAAAAAACTTAATAACAATCACAATTTCTTCACATTTTATTATTTACATTTTTTAAAGAATGTTGTGGCACACCACAACATTCTTTGCAGTGCCACAGCACTATCCGAAATTAAATTATTTACCCATTTTTTGTAGGTTATACAGAAATAATGTGTGGGTGTTTATTTAAAAAGCATTAACACAAAATTAATAAAGTATAGGTATTAATAAATATATGGTTGTTGTATCAAAATAGAAAAATTTTCTTATTTTTCACTAAAATAAAAACTAACTTTCTTTTTTATAAAATAAATTACCTTTTCATTATGCAATATATTATTTAACTATTTAAATTATTTAGCTGATTGTAAGAAACAAAATGTTGGTTTGTAGATTAATACTGTAAAATTATTATTTGTACTGAAATGATAAAAATATATTTTTGTGCTGCGACAAAAACTAATATTATAAATGTGAAAGTAACTCTGTCTGTCTGTCTCGCTTTCACGCCAAAACTACTGAACCGATTTGAATGAAATTTGGTATACAGATAGTCTAGACCCTGAGAACGGACATAGGCTACTTTTTATTGCGAAAAAAGGGTTGTAAGGGGTTAAAAGGGGGGATGAAAGATTGTATGGAAGAATCGTCATTTTTAACGTCAAACTTATTGTTGAGACTGTTGATTAAATATAAATAAATATGACATTCATCGTTTGTAAAAAAATTACCCTTAAGGGGGTAAAATAAAATAGGGGATACAAGTTTTTATGTAAACACGTCATTTTTGAAGCTAGAAGTTTGAATCTTATTGTTGAGACTGTTGATTAAATATAAATACATATGACATTCATTGTTTGTAAAAAAAAATACCCTTAAGGGGGTAAAATAAAATAGGGGATGCAAGTTTTTATGTAAACACGTCATTTTTGAAGCTAGAAGCTTGAATCTTATTGTTGAGACTGTTGATTAAATATAAATACATATGACATTCATTGTTTGTAAAAAAAATACTCTTAAGGGGGTAAAATAAAATAGGGGATGCAAGTTTTTATGTAAAATCGTCATTTTTGAAGCTAGAAGCTTGAAACTTATTTTTGAGGCGGTGGATTAAATATAAATAAATATGACATTCATTGTTTGTAAAAAAATACCCTTAAGGGGGTAAAATAAAATAGGGGATGATAGTTATTATGTAAATTCGTAATTTTTGAAACTAGAACGATGAAACTATTTTCATTGGTTCTTTTGGGGTAGATTTTTAAATACCCCACTAATGTTATAACTGTGAAAGTAACTCTGTTTGTCTTTCTGTCAGTCTTACGCTCCAAAACAAAATAAAAATTTAAATGAAATTTGGTACACAGTTAGTTTACACCCGGACAAAGAATATAGGGTACTTTTGAATGTGAAAAAAGGATTGTAAGGGGGTTGCAATGGTACGCTGTATGGAAGAATCGTCATTTTTTAAAACTAGAAGTTTGAGACTCATTTTTAGGCTGTTGTTTAAATATCAATAAATATGATATTCAATGTTTGTAAAATTTTTACTCTTAGGGGGAGGGGGGGTAGTAAAATAAAATAGAGAATGAAAGTTATTGTGGAAATTTGCTGTTTGTGTGGTTGTGGAAGCTAGAACGATTAAACTTTTTTCTTTGTCTTTTTAGGGTTTGTTTATTAAATACCTTACTGATATTATAAATATGAAAGTAACTTTGTCTGTTTGTCTCGCTTACACGCCAAAAATACTGAACCGATTTAAATTAAAATTTGAAACAGACATAGATAGACTAGATCCTGAGAAAGGACATAGGTTACTTTTTAATGTGAAAAAGGGTTGCAAGAGGATTGAAAGGGTAGATCCAAGGTCATATAGATGTATCGTCATGTTTAAAGCTAGAAGCTTGAAATTTATTTTTAGCCTATTGATTAAATATTTATTTTTACTTTTTATCATTTTTGAAGCTAAAACGATGAAACTTATTTATTTGACTTATATTGTGTTAATTGAGTTAAATATTTTTTCATTATTTACGCGGACGAAGTCGCGGGTACAGCTAGTCTTGTATATATAAATCTCGTTTCATAATGTTGGTTACCATACTCCTCCGAAACGAGTTGACTGATTTGTATCCATATTCAGCAGGTCTGAGAATCGGCTACTACCTATTTTTCATACCCCTAAATGTTAAGGGTTCACCCTTAAAATTTAAGAACGTAAGCTGCTATATATATATATATATTATATTTTGCTGATCCCGCAAACGTTATTTTATAAACGCCATATAAATTAAAATCGCTATTAAAAATAGGGGTTAATGGTATATATTATTTTGTGTTGTATGTTTTTCTATAAAAAAAAATTAAAATAAATAAAATAAAAATGTTAGGGGTGGACAAACCTTATCAGTTAGGGGTTTCATAAAAATCATGCCGTTTCGGAGGAGTATGGTAACTATTATTGTAACACGAGAATTTTATATATATACTAGCTGAAATATTATAGTCTATGTCTATATATATTCTAATGTATAAGCTATATTACTGTAAAACTTAATCAAAATCCCTTCAGTAGTTTTTGCGTGATTGAGTAACAAACATCCATACACATATCCATTCATACTTACAAACTTTCTCGTTAATAATATTAGTATAATACCTTTAAGGCAGTGTCACGGGGAGATACATACCCGCATGAAGTGGCGGCGACCGTTGCCGCCACAATGAGCAGTCTGCAAGTGCCCAACTCGTACAGGCTGGTCTGGCAGTCCAAGGTGGGACCGCTGCCGTGGCTGCAGCCGTACACTGATGAGGCAATCAAGGTAAGTGTTACAAGATGAGCATGCAACTTTTCCGTCGACATCACGTGGCGCCACTGCCACTACCACAACACCGCAGCTGCAAGTGCCACGTCGTTTGCAACGTCGTTCAAACTACCAGCACGATTAGGTTTATAGAGACTAGAAGCTTTGTTTTCCATTGGGAGGGAGTAATGGTATAACAGATACTTTTTATAGACCAACGTCATATTTATTATTCATCTAGCTGTTGATTGACATTGTAGAAAAAGACGAAACTATGTCACTATATTCGTAACATATTAAATATATTCCTCAATTACTGTATTTTAATACAAAATAAGTTTAAAACTACCAGCACGATTAGGTTTATAGAGACTAGAAGCTTTGTAAAAAAAACACGAAAACTATCTCACTATATTTAATATGTTACGAATATAGTGACATAGTTTTCGTGTTTTTCTTGTTGGTAGAAGAAGTTTCGTGTTGGTAGAAGGTTAAAAACTTAGCGTTGTATATATATTTTTCAATGCTATGAAAAATTGTTAATAAAATATATATTTAGCAGTGTGTAAGCAGAGCTTGTGTTGTGGTTACTAAACAACTGGTAGAAACAATTGTAGATAGAGTGATTCAAGAGGAAGGTTTATATGTATAGTACATGCGTGTTAATAGAACAAACCAAGAAATTCAAAGATCTGTAATACATCCGTGCGAAGCCGGGAGGTGGCGCTAGTAAATAATTAGACTTTTTTTTTCAGGCGTATGCAAAACAGGGGCGCAAGCATCTCATCCTGGTGCCTATAGCGTTTGTGAATGAACACATAGAGACTTTGCATGAACTGGATATCGAATACTGTGACGAACTCGCTAAAGAGGTTAGTATATTGAATGATGACTGGCTCATCCGTCATACTCGGGAACGGGTGCTGCTTGTAGGCTACTGGTCTATTCGGGTTACGAACACTGATTAGACTAGCCTTTGACAAAATTGCTATAGCAAATGCTGGTAGTCACTATTCTCCCAAGTTTGAATTAAAAACTGAATCTGTATTATTGTAAATATGTACAACATTTATTTGAAAAGAATACGAGCTGAGTTTCTTGTTAGTTCTTCTCATCTCGAAATCATTCCGAACTGACAGTAGATCTGATATATAATAAGAGTCTGTACTGGATTACATGAATAAAGATATTTTGAATTTCAATTAATAAGGCGTACATTCGACGCGGAGTCGTAACGTGGACTGATTTTACACTGAGCTTAAATCTATGTTATTCGGAGAGGTACTACTAGAAGAGTCGAATGTTGACAGAAATACAAGTGTAGGCACATATTAAAAGAAACCTTTTTATCTACCTTACAGGCCGGTGTACAGCAAATAGAACGGGTGGCGACCCCTAACGACCATCCTGTATTCATAGCGGCGCTGGCAGACGTGGTGGCGAACCATTTGAAGAACGGTCCCAGGCTGAGCAACCAGTTCCTCACCAGGTAAGAAATGTCTATGATAAAATAATAAAAGAATATCTACTATATAGATGCCTTATTTATTATTATTTGATTATGACGGCCTCGGTGGTCTAGCGGTTTAGCACACCGCTTTATGGTGATGGTCGCGGGTTCGATTCCTCGCACGGTGCAAATATTTATATTCATGACTATGATATGATTATTTGTATCCGGTAGGGTGTTTTCTATGTATAATATGTATGTATTTACAAAATAAAATCTATGTATTTGCATCAGTTATCTAGTACCCATAACACAATCTTTACTAAGATTAATTTCCTAAGATTATTATTATTGTTTATTGTTGTCTTACTTAAATTTTAAATTAATTATGATCGAATCGACCATTGGTTATAATGAATGTTTCTTTTGATGAAATTAATAATTTCATGTTTGTATTGGTACTGGTATGTATAATAATAATCCTATCCTATCCTATGTATAATAATAAAAATAACACCCCATAAAAGGGAGATATATACATATAAAATATATGCATAAACAATAATAATAATAATCATTTATTCAGCATCATGCTACAGAGTAAAAATATAGAAAACTTAAAAACTAATATTTTGCTATGAGCTGAAAGAGCCTCCACTCAGCTGGTGCCGCAGCGTGTCACTGCAGCGCTGATTTTCTACTATTAAATTCTGTGTGTTATTCCAGGTGCCCGCACTGCGTGAGCCAAAGGTGTCTCTCATCTAAGAGTTTCTTTAAGAAGCTTATTGGAATTTAGTTATTATTATGTTACAAATAAATATATTTATACTACATTATCAATTTGTTTCATTATAGAGATACTAGCTGTACCCGCGGTTTCATCTGCGTTAAATTTCAATGAAAACATAGCCAATTAGCCTATAATACAGTAATATAGCTTATATGTTAGATAAGCTATGTTACTGTAAAGTTTCATCAAAATCTGTTCAGTAGTTTTTGCGTGAAAGAGTAACAAACATACTTTACAATCTTTCTCGTTTATAATATTATTAAGTTTTTTATATGTACTAAGTAGCCAGGAAAATGTAGTAAGATTTTACTGTTCCTATTTTTTTTTTATTGAGGGTTATGGGCAACGGCCGATCCAGGGGGGTCATGACCTCCATAAATATTTAAACATACATAGGGACGGACAGACAGCGACAGCGACTTTGTTTTATACTATGTAAAGATAGTAACACCTAATACATCTCTTCTTGGAAATAACCCGCGTGGATCTGAAATATCATTCTGATTATCTGGATGAATGGCGGTCCTCCACAATGCGGTTTTCTAGAAACTTTAGCCACGCACAACCACAATGTGGAATCACCTTCCAGCAATGGTAGATTCTACGGTATTGAAACCTTATTATAAAAAAATAATCTGTTTAATGCAGTTCACCTTCCAGCAATGGTAAAGCCGATACGGTATCGGTGTTTTTTGCTCAATTTTTGCGCCTTATCGTAAACAAAACTCTCTTCTACCACAGATAACATAATATTACATACTTCTACTATATCAAAGCTTTATTCGTGCCTACTGTAATTTATAGCTGAAAATCAATAAATCGCACTGAATTACCGCCTTTTGGCACTGCTCTAGCACGCCGAATTCAGTAAAATTATCTTATCTGTGGTAATATGCACGCTATATGTGACATATTTGTCATACAGTTGTCTATTTATTGTTATTGTTAGTGTATACCTACTATTTTTATTATAAATTGTATCTTTATTTTGTGTTGTGTGCTGAAGATGTTAATAAAACATTTATCTATCTACATAAAAAATGTAAGAAAAATAATATGTCGATGTAAATTCATTACCTTACCAACAATCTTATTTTATAATACATACATGTACTTTTTTTTATTAGTGAAATGCGTAGGAATGAGGATATTTTAAGAAAGGTGTTACATATGAATGTGGATGGTTATAGGGGCAGAGGACGGCCGAAAAAGAGATGGATGGACTGTGTGAAAGATGATATGGTAAGAAAGGAAGTAAATAACGCGATGACTGCGAACAGGGATGAATGGAAGAGAAAAACATATTACGTCGACCACAAATAAATGGAATAAGGAAGAAGCAGATGATGATGACTTTTTTTTATTAAGTAGTTTTACGGCCCTGGACATGTACTTGACTAGATATCAGTCGTTCGAAATATCTAATCTAACATTTTACCTTTAGTTGCGACACAATCGGGTAAAAGATGTGGAAACAACTTTCATACCAGACAAGTGGCAATGTGTGCACAGTAATGATCTATTGACTTTGATGATCTCGGAGATACAGACGAGCAACTAATACTAAGTATCTATTTATTTATCGCTTATTTATTATTTATTTATCTCTTTATTGCACCAATCATGTAGGTACCTAATACGAGAATTATACTAAACAGATTTTAATGTACTGTGTACAAAAGGCGGTCTTATCGCTCAAGCAATCTCTTCCGTACTATATATACTCTTGCATTAATATATATATGTGTGTAGTAAACATTATTGCATCTCTTAAATTGAAGCTCTAGAGACTACATTATGGGGTTCATAAAAATCTCTTTTAAGGTTCATAAAAAATCTTAATGTCAAAGTACTTTCAAAGTGCATAAATGGTATTAATAATTTTGACTTATATATCTGTTTTATGTACAGTAATTATAAACAAATTCTTCCTAACTCGCCATAACTAAATGAGGAAATAGACATTTGACCATAGTTTTGAATAAAAGAAATTACATATGTTATTATCAGTTATCTTATAAATGATACGAAATGTAATTTTATTGCATGTAATGTGGTATTTTAAATCAATCAAACAGACAGTTGTCAATTTTAAATAATAGCATAATATCATCATATTATTAAGTTAAAGATCTCGATATTCCTTATCACTATAATTAATTAACTTATTAATAAATCAGTCACTTTTTGAGCATTTGGAAACTTAATAAAACACAAACGATAAGTAATTCTACAATTCTTATTTTTATTTAATTGTTTTAGTCCTCTCGCATTATATATATATATTAAAATAACAATATTATTACATCTAAATCCACATTAATAAAACAACATTATTCCTACACATATAAATAAATATACACCGATAAAGTGTCGCTGTCGGCCACAATTAGTAGCCTGTGAGTCGCTCGACTACTACAACTCATAGAGCACACGTATCTTGTTTGACCACTTTCACACAATACTTATGCGACACACGTAACATTACATAAACGTGGTCAGTATGTCCGTGTGTTTGTATGCGTGCTAAATATATAATATTTATTGTCACATTATGACCTAGTTTGCATAGATACCACCGAGTTACGCTTTGTAAAGTTATAAATAATAAATAATTATTTAAGAGAGCAACACGCACACGCAAGTATTTGCACAATCTTCTTTTAAAAAAATTTGGGAATAAGCTTTTTGATAATGTGGATTAATAATCCCATTGCTAGCAATGTACCATGTCAGGTTGACCTCCACGCGGTTTCCTCTGGAAATCATGTTAAATTTCTGCTGAATTTGACATGATGGGCTAGCTGTCCTGGCCTCATACTCGTCATCCTCCATTGGGGCTCCGCCAGCGTATACCGTTAGCGCAGGCGGGTGCACCATTCATTATCATGCATAAAATAAACCACCTATATACATATTAATATCTAAAACACCTAAACCAACAGTTATACTTTTATACCACCAATATAAATGTTTGCAAAGGGGTAGGAATCGAACCTGCGACCACCGGACGTAAGGCGGTGCGTTAAACCGTCAGACCACTGACACCGTGCTACTAATAAGTTAATTGTAGTTATCTCTCAATAAGTTACTTATTTTTCTCACGAGTTATTCCTCTGGGAAAATGTACCTACGAAACTTGCCTAGTTGTATTTATTTGTCATTTTTGGGGTTGGTATAAAAAACCACCCCATAAAATAATTCTCGTTTTTTACAGTTTTTAATATTGCAAAAATTTATAAAGAAATTCATTATAATTAGTTTATTTATAGTCATATATGGTTTCTATTTCATGAAGATATCTTGAATAGGTACTTAGAAAAAGAAATTTTTCGTCAAGGGGTGTCACCCTCATTATTCCCTCACTATAGGGGTTTGGGCTGTGAGATTAAGTGTCTAGCTATTTTAGATGAACAACAATAAAAACAAGGTAAGAACTCAACATCAGACGCGAGTGCAGTTTACATATGCGTATTCTTAACCCGTTAGATCCTTTTATAAAAAAAATCCACTTTTCATATCTATCTGACGTTTCATATCTGAACAGCTGATCTAACCTCTAAAACTTCAAACCGTAATAAGAAAGAAATAAAAATTAAAAAGAATTTTGTGCTCAGATTATACGCATACCTTCATATATGTTCATAAACGAAATCGCTACATCTATGGGAAATATAAATAATAAATGTCTATGGTTAGTTGCATCGTTGCATTTATTATATATAGGTACCTTATCTGTCAAATCTATGGATGCATTCTACACACCGGACCTTTTTGTCTCCCTCATGAAGCATTACGCCGTATAGGTTAGAATGAAATAGAAATATGAACGTAACGCTGGGGCTAACTTCAGATCGATGTCCATTCATCGAACAACTGTTCTAGCTATGTATATATATATAATTTAGTCTCGTCGCGAAATGATAGTAGTTTAGACGTCATATCGCAGTGATTCATTTTTAAAATGTAAACAAACATTGTTTATTTATTCAGTGAAAAAACTCCGAATTCCTACGCACCATGTCTAAAATAAAGATTGCTTGTTCTGTGCCTGTGTTTGGTTTATTAGTGTTGTTATTATTGATTGTAAATGTTATTTGCAATACGGTGATAAGCGAACATCAACACGTTCATTGTACTCATGAACACCCAAAAGAAGACCAAGTAAGTTTTGACATAAACCGAAACGTATTTATGCTCTTTGCTTTATTAGAAATTAAAAAAAATAATTTACATATGACTTTGAGGTTATGTCTTAAATTTAAAGTAACATAACATTTTTATTTTATATATAATACGGTAATATTTATCGAAATAATTTATTTAAAATGATATGGTATATACGTACGTAATTAAATTTAAATTCTATCATTTTCTTGTTGACTATGTTGTAACTTGGAAGTACAGTAACCTCACGCAGTAAGAAACCAGTAGAAAAAGAAAGCATGCTAAAACGTCCGATGCAATTTTATCTGATTAAGACTAATATGCAATGGACGGTTCTCACAGAAATTATATTCATTGTACATAAAATTGGTTACCTATTTAATTCATTTTACTAGTTTTGTGGGTGTATTTTGTTAATGTAAATCGCTACTAGTTAGTAGCTAAATTTGGTACACAGATAGTCTAGATCCAGAGAAATGACATAGATTATATACTTTTTAATGCGAAAAAAGGGTTGTAAAGGCTTCAAAGGGGAGATGAAAGGTTGTATGGAAGTATCGTCTTTTTAAATCTAGAAATTGTAACTTATTTTTAGGGCTGATGATTAATATTATGGCTGATATGATGATATTCAAAGTTTGTAAAAAGAAATTTCCTAAAGGGGTAATAAAATATGTGGATGAAAGTTTGTGAAATTCGTCATGTTTGAAGACAGAACGATGAAACTTTTCTTGGTTTTTATAAGTAGGCTAAATAATTAAAAATGTTATCCAAAGTCACTATTCTACATACGCGAAGTCGCGGGCATAGTAGTTGTATGTATATTTAAGGATAGTAAGCAGATTTTTTGATTTATTTTGAACGGCAAATAGGCTGATAGCACACCCGATGGTAAACAGTAACCGTCAGAAACAGCACTACAGAATAAAAAATTGAGCTGTCCACTTAAGAAACTTTAATGATAGGTTTTATAAAGAAATAATATGAAATGGGGTGAAGGGAATTGTTAGTAATGTGGACTGTTGACCCTATTTTTTTTTTGTGGATAATAATGGAATGGTGCACCCGCCTGCGCTAACGGCTTACGCTGGCGGGGCATGATGTCAGGTAGTAAACACGATGGTTACCAGGGGGAACCGCGTGGAGGTCGACCTGACACGGTACTATTGACCCCATTACCATTACCATGTACCATGTCAGATTAACCCCCTCGCGGTTCCTCTTGGAAACCATCCTGATAAATTCCTGGTGAATTTGTCACGGGCTAACTAATCTGACCTCATGTACATCTTGTCATCCTCCACTGGTGCCGTCAGCGTAAACCGTTAGCGTAGGCGGGTGCATCATTCCATTAAAAAAATGTCAAAAGGGATGTACCAACTCTTTTAGACCATATTGTTAATTACTCTGTGCCTTTAATTTATGCATTCTGCGTTCGTCCCTCATTTACGCAGTTTCAAATGGTAACTAACTTGTTTACATAGACAGTAGGTACTGACTCCTCAATTGAGCACTTGTTTAAATATTCATACTAATATTATAAAGCTGAAACTGTACTGTCTGTCTATCTGGTTATATTTTCACGGCCAAATCGACCAGTGAAGGAGCATGAAGCCTGAAGTCAGATCAGACCCATCGTGGACAATTCATCTGGAATTTACCACGATGGTTTCTATAACGAAGTACGAAATAATATAATATGAAGGAACCATGGAGGTCAAACTGACATGGTACATTGCTAACAATCGGGTCAACAGTCCACATTACTAACAATATCCTGTTTCCACTGTTTAGGTATGTTTTATGTATTAAAAAATATGTACTTAGTATATGTAAAAATTAAATTTAATAATGAATTAATTAAATCTGTTTAACAACTCGTAGAGTATCAAAAAAAACAGTTTTGCAAAAACAAATTTAATTTTTTATTGAGGCGTGTTCGCGCGCGGCCAAATCTTCAAAATGAGTCTAATTTGAATTTAAAAATAAATATCTATTTTTGTTTTGTAAACCTGTAAAAGCTTATTTGAAAAGAACAAGAGCTGAGTTTCTTCTCAGTTCTTCATTACTCGAAATCATTCCGAACTGACGGTAGATTTGACATATCATAATAGTCTGTAATAGACCTACATGAATAAAGATATTTTAATTTGATTGTCTATGTAAATAAATTCTTGCAAATATGGCGGTCTGAAAAAAATGTTACACAGAGTAATACAACAATTATTTTGTTTTATGATGCAAGACTGGTTACCACTAGAAGCAGAGTAAATGAGGCACGACCGCGCCATGCATAAATTAAAGACACAGAGCAATGAATAATACGTTCTGTAAGAGTCGACACAGCTCTTATGACAATTGAGTCTATGGAACAACTTAATAATAATAATAATTGTTAACTATTTCTAGGTTTGCTGGAAGAAATCTCTTTTTAGAGATAATCTCGCCCTTGTACATTGCACTATATAAAGAATAATTTGTTCGTAAAAGATTGTACATCTAAATATATATAACTCAAAGGTCACTGACGTAGTGATTTATCAACACGAATTTAAGTTTATTTTTCTAAAATGAAAATAGCCTAACTATTTTTATTTTAGAAAAATAAACTTAAATTCCACGCGGACGAAATCGCGGGCACAGCTAGTCATCTATAAGATTCGTATAACAACTATTTTGATCTTTCACAAGGAAGAAAAATGCAACAAATTGTATTGTTTCTAAAAAATAACAGATACGCAAAAAATGTTTTCTTTTTTAATTGGAAAATTGGCTTGGGCAAAACCTTTAAAAAATATCTATTCTGATATATGTGTTGAAAACATAAATAAAGAGGTATATAAAACAACATTTTTTTAAAATGAATCTATGCTGAAATGCTGTGTTGAAAAAACAATATTTATTTATTTCTTTTAGGAAGATTAACGATGTAATTTTACATGTTACTTGTCATATTAAAGTGTCCTATGCCAATTAATAATCTTACAAATATTCATAAAACAAATATTTTGTGTCTCCGTAAGGAAAACATTTTTTACATAGATTTGTATATTATGTTCTTTGTGATGCAAGACTGGTAGCCATTCGAAGCAGAGTAAATGAGGCACGACCGCGAATTGCATACATTAAAAGCCAAACATTTGCATTCATTTACTTTTTTTTTATTTATGTTCTGGCAACAAGACTTTTGAGCCTTATTATATATCTTATATAATATTAATAAGATAGTTTTTGACTATGGATGGTATGGATACATGTTTGTTACTGTTTTACACAAAATCTACTGAATGGATTTTAATAAAATATTACAATAACATAGCATCAGAATTACACATAGGCTATAAATTTTACACAGCTGCAACTTTGAGCATAGATAATCTTATATATAAAATTCTCGTGTTACAGTTTTCGTTCCCATACTCCTCTGAAACGGCTTGACCGATTCTCATGAAATTTTGTGAGCGTATTGAGTAGGTCTGAGAATCGGCCAAAATCTATTTTTCATCGCCCTAAATGTTAGCGGTAGTCCACCCCTAATTTTTTTTTTATTTTAAGGCAAAACAACGTTTGCCGGGACAGCTAGTTATTTATATATTTTTATTTCGTTTGTTGACCAGTGTAAAAAAACTTCCTTAGATGTCTGGCAAGTCATAATATACAGTAAATGATATTTTCCAAAATTCAATGAAATTATATCCTTACATAAACTACGGGCACAGCAAGCAAACTTACGCGTTTATGATATTAATAACATAATTCTAACAATAAATAGGTGTGGCATATTTATATTCGACCCAAAAAATTAGTGCTGTTTGGTAGTTTGTATTCACACGTTTCCACTTGTAAATGTAAATTTACAAGGATTATTTAAAAGAGCAACACTCAAGTTTCTTGCTCGTTCTTCTTGTGATGAGACAGCTTTCCGAACGAGCGGTATGCTCGGTTGGAAATGAAAAGCTACTCATAATAAAAAAAAATGTTATGACTATTCAAAAGTTAAATTAAGGAATTTAAAAACTTAAATTAAGAATATTTGAACAAATGATTTTCTATTCTATTCTATATTGAGTAATATTCACAATATGAATAAGCCTTCCTCAGCTTTCTTTAGCCTATATTAATAACCCATGTCATCATTGCCTTGCCTTTATCCCATTATTTGGGGTCGGCGCAGTATGTCATTCTCTTCCACTGCTCTCTATCAGTCGTCATATCTAAACATACTCTTCTTTTATTCATATCATCTTTCACACAATATATTAATAACTCATGTATTCTTAGAAATCTTAATCATAATTTCTACATTCGTTTTTGCGTGAGACTGTTACAGCTAGACATTTATCGCCTCTTAGGATTTTATTATATGCAAAGAATATAAAGATAATGTTGGAATGTACGATAATGGAATGGTACACCTGCCCACGCTAATGGTTGATGCTGGGGCACCAGTTGAGGGTGATATGACATACAAGCAAGCATGAGGTCAGGTCAGGTCATTTAGATCTCGTGGCAAATACACCAGGAAGGAGGATTGATAATCTATACATATATATAAAATTGGAGTGTCTGTTTGTAATATTGAAATAACCGTTTTTTACTGAATATTAATACGGTACATACACCAAAATAACATTTAATACAATTTTTGTCTGTCTGTCTGTCTGTTTGTTCCGGCTAATCTCTGAAATGGCTGGACCGATTTTGACGAGACTTTTATTGGCAGGTAGCTGATGTAATAAAGAATAACTTAGACTACTTTTATTTTAAAAAATCTTTTATTAAAAAAAAAAATACACGCTAACGAAATCGCGGGTACAGCTAGTAATATAATAATAATAACAACCCTGGACAATCTTACGCAAAGCAGAGCTTGTATTTATCATCATCATCTGCTTCTTCATTGTCCTATTTATTTGTGGTCGTCGTAATATGTTTTTCTCTTCCATTCATCCCTGTTCGCAGTCATCTCGTTATTTACTCCCTTTCTTACCATATCA